TAAGACGATTGCTCCGCTCCGGACTGAGAATCAAGCGCTGCAGTTTCACTCTCCAGAAGGAAAAGCCAACCAGATATGCTAGGATCAAAGGCCAAGGAACTCCAGTCGATAACCTCAAGATATTCCTAAAACATCAAACGAATCTCCTCTTTACGAAGACTGCAATCCTCCTCATTAGCAAACCTCTTCAAGGAATTGAAACTACAACGAATCATTTCTGCAGCATGCTTCTCCAATAGCCTTTGCTGTTTCCGTATACAATCAAGACGAGCTTGCAATGCTAGCAAGGCTTGTAGAGCAGCAGCATTTGCTGATTCTACTTCAGCTTTCTCGCTCAAAACCTTGCACTTTTCACAAATCAAACGCCCCGTTGAAGAAGAAAATCAGTAATCACAGAGAATACTAAGAAACGAAGAAACTAACCAGCAGAAGCTGAGAAATGATTAGTATTATAGCTCTAATTCAGAGAAATACACTCTTCACAGCAAGAAGAGTTTTCAGCGAAACAATAGAAAGCCTCCGTCTCCTGATAATAAGCACAAGCAGGCATTTCAATACCAAAAGCAGAAATAAGCTTAGCAAGATAATAATGCTCTTGAGTTTTTACCGAATGATTAGAATGCAATTTGTTAATTCTATTCAACATTTTGATTAGGAAGGCATAACTGTATATACGAATAACTTGCTCGGATACTTACGGAAGATCGTTAGGAACAACGATCGATAGAAGAGAGATGATGTTATAATCTATCCAATATGCAGATTACTAGCCAGAATATCCGGAACAACTATCCGGAAAGATAAGGATTCAATATCTTAAGAACTAAGGCTTACATAAGCAAGGGTTAGAATTACAGAATCAGAATGGATTAGTAACTGATCCATAGTAATCCGAATCAGTTGGATCATCCAGATAATCCAAGAGATCCAACAACCAATACTACTAACAGGACTAAAAAGCTGGATATATAAGAACACATTCATTCCCATTAGATAGATCTCGTACATAGCTCTTCAGTTATCAATCTAAGTATTCAGTCTTCTATACTGAATAGCCCCAAAGGCAGTGAATACTTGCATCGCTTATTAAGACTTGTACGGTTCCGTATTCAAGGTCTTAACACTTCGATACCGCTCTTGTTAGCATAAACCTCCTTGTGTACTTAGGAATCTTCGGATTGCTGCAGTGCTCATTACACATGAGCTCTATAGAACTTCAATCTATAGCTATAGCATCTGTATAAAGTTTCATTCTTCTTTAGAATTTTATTAATCTCTGCTTATTATACTTTAGAATATTACTTATTCTTATTTTTCAAACTTGTATAGATAATACTCATTTATAAGAAATTTATATTTCTTTAAAAAGAATTTCTTACAAAAATAGTTTGAAAATATCTAATTAGTTATAAGATTTTCTATAAAGCTTTAATTTAATTATATAAGATATTCTATATCTATTTAAAAATATTAGTTTATAGCTTTAAGAATTTTGCTATTATAATTTAATTAATGCAGAATTGCTTTATTATTAAAGCTAATTAGTTATATTCTTAATTATTTTTTTAAGCAGATTTAGCTTTTAAGATCTGCTTAATTAGTTTAAGCTAAGCTTACTAATTATAAATTAATTATTAAAGCAATTAATAATATAATAGCTCTACTGCTTATTCTAATAGATTTATTAGTTAACTAAGAGTATTATATATTAAATATAGAATAGGAATAAGCTATATCTGATTAAGAACTAGCTGAGATAAAAGTATAGAAGAATCTTGAAATTAAGCTTATTAATAAAGTTGAAGATTAGTAGCACTGAAAGCAAATTAGTCTTAAATCTTCTTCTAAAGTACTTTATAATAAACTTTTAATAGCTTTTCCATAAGATAAAGCTACTTCTTATTACTAATGCTTTCAGCAGTAATATTATAATTAGCTTAAAAGCGCTTAATTCAGATTAAAAAGAGCTTTATCTATGCTTCTGCTACAGATTAACTATCTCTGATTTTAAGATAAATAAGAGCATTATTATAATTCATAATAAATAATTAGAAGCTAGCAATATTAGTAATAAAATAATTATTAATAATATTCAAATGCTTCTGCTTGAAAATATATATTTAAAGATAATCTTAAGAGTAATAAGTAATTAATAGTTGCTCTTTCTATTCATTTCAAGTTTTAGTGCTTATAATAAATCTCTCTACTTCTCTAGCAATAATTATATTTATATAGAAGCTTTTTATAAAGTTGAATACTTGAATATCATCAATCTCTTTAATCTAATGCTATTAATCGAATTGCTTTAGCTATAAAGAAACTTCTATATAAGCAAATAATATCAATTCATTATTAGCAAGCTTACTATAGAAAGGAAATCTAAAGTTCTAATTATAATAGTTATTAGCTAAATAATTAGCTGAATTAAGTATCTAATTGAAAGAGTTTTCAGATATAAAAGCTATCTTGCTTCTTAGTTATTACTTTCTCTGATATTTCTTTGCTTTTCTAATTCGAAATCCTTGAGTTGAGAATGCTATAGCTGAAATACTTTCCGTATTCTGCAGAAAACAATACTATAGAAATTAAGAAAATTTAGATATTTAAGAAAGATTCAGTTTATAAATAAAGTATATATAAGATCTGTTTTATAATAAATAATAAGAAATTAAATTAGCTATTCTATGCTATACTGGAATCTTCTTTATTAATAGTTCTGCTAATTAATAGAAATATTTCTAATTAGATATAAAGCATTAATTAAAATTTAATATCAGATAATATTATTATAATTCTTAATTTCTATTTCTTATATGTACTAATAGTTTCTTATTTTTATCTTTCTATATTCTTTGCTTTTAAAATAATATAACTAGCAAGCTTTTAATTCAAAGAATTAATATAGCTAGATATATTCAGATAAAGTATACTAATCAGATTATTATAAGAAGTACAAATCTTATTAATTATATTATTTTTCTTTATAAAGTATTATTTATTAAAAGCATTTTACTTTATAATTTAATTATAAATCTACATTCAACATAATTAAACTTTCCGCTACAGCTTATATAAGTCTAAGCTGTATCAGCTTCTATATAGAATTATTGATTAATATGAGAAATATTAGAAAAAGGAATTTATTTCTTCGTAATATTAGCCTGCAGGCTCAATGCATCATTCACTAGCTTACAACCAGAACTTATATTACTCCTTTTCTATCCATTCATCTTCTCTCTACAAGAGATCTCAAGCATAATTCAGAATTCAGATATAATGCACAGCTTATTATATAAGCATAATAGATAAAGAAAATAAAAAAGCTTAGCAGAGAAAAAGAGTATACTCATTCATAGAATAAACTTGCTGCTCTTACTAATTCTTACAAACTATAATGCAAATAATTCTAAGCTATTAGCCTGAATAGCTAAATTCATACTTACTATATTATTAAACCAGAACTAGAGCGCTATTGCTCTCGAAAGAAAAAGGAATAAATAGCTGCTGAAGCAATAAGCAAGAGCTCATGCAATCCAAGTATACCTGTACAGATAAGAACAGCAAACTAAGGCTATACGGGTGTAAGAACAGAATGAAAAATCTGTCTTAGATCTGTTCAAAAGGTTCAAAATTGAAAAGAAGAGAAAGGATGCTTTATTGTTTTCTATAGCTAAAGAATTTAAAAAGTGGGTAGTATCCTTTATATGTATGAGGATTCTTGACCCACTGTACTTCATATCCCACGAACTACCACCCTGGCCACCACAACACTGGTTTAATATAATACTGTCTGTTATTCGATACTGAGTTGCAATATCTAATTCCTTGTTAGCAGAGCTTTTCCTGTGATTTGCATGCTGAATGAGTTATAACATATATTTTAATAATTTATTTAATAATAATAAATATATTTTTATATATTTTGCTTTTTAATATAACTTATTTAGCTTATTAATAGTTTAAATAATTTAACTTATTAAATTATTTAATAATTTAATAATTTATTTTTATTATAATTTTAATTTTTATTTATATAATTTTAATTAATTGTTTAGCGCGAAATTATAATATTTAATTTTTATTATTAAAGCTTATTTTATAATTTATAAATTAAGTAAGTTATAATACTTTTTTAGGAAAAAAATAACGAATTTTATAATTCTTATAAAAAGAATAAATTAATATTTTAATATAATAAAAAAGAATAATAATTCCAAAAAAATTTTATTTTATTTTTTTATAATAAAATTTATTAATTTTATTTAATATTTTAATTAGAAAAATATAATTAAATATATAAATAATTTAATAAAATATTTATAAAAAATTATTAAGAATAATAATTAATATAAAAAAATTAATATTATAATTTATTTAATATATAAGTTATAAAATAAATTCTATTAATAAAAAAGCAAGCATTATAATTTAATATATAAATAAATTAATTAGAATTATAATTAAGAGTTAGAATTAAAAATAAAAGCTATTTAGAAAAGAATTGTAATAGTTGCTCATCAGTTCTTACAGCTCGCACTAAAGAGCAGAATATATAAGAATACATTTATTATTATTAGATAAATTATCAGAATATAGCTCTTCAGTTATTAATCTAAGTATTCATTTATTATATACTTGAATAGCTCTAAAGGCGAATGAACATACTTGCACAGAGATTACTTGTTATATTTCCGTATTCAGGGATTAATACTTTGATATTGCTCTTGTTAGCATAAACCCTTGGTGTACTCAGGATTTTCGGATATTGCAGTGCATTCATTATATCTGGGTTTTGTATAGCATGCGTATATACTGCTCAGGTGGGGAAGTATTCAAATTGTACCCTGAATTTTGTACTGACTGACTCCTTGCAGTTTCGCTAAAGCTCTCTAAAACTCCACAACCCCACATGACATCAGCAGCCTATCTTGTCCCTTACCCCTCTATTTTCCCCTCTGTATCTTTCACCTAACCTCCTGTCAATGTTTGGAACACGGACAACTTTCTGCTCAACTACAAAGGCTGCCCGTTCCCATCAAACAATATCAGCATCAGAGACTGATTCGAATTCAGAAGCTGGTCAATGAATATCAACATAAAATGCAGCTAGTGAATGCCAAGAAGATTCCTCGGATCGAGGACCTCGGCGAGGGTTCAGTACAGCTGGTTGCCACCGAGCCCGAAGACATGTGGCACGCCAACAACCTGATCGCTGTCGACGATGTGGTTCGCGCACACGCTATACGAAAGGTCGCCAAGGAGTCCGCGACCGGCACATCCTCTACCGAGCGTATTCATACGGACTTGACCATCACTGTCACCTCAACATTCTTCGATCCCTCTGCCTCAGCCCTCCACGTTAGCGGCAAAGTCGTTGCTGCGAACGCCTTTGTCAGCGCCGGCCAGTACCACACCCTCGACCTCGAGCTGAACCGCCCCTTCACCTTGTGGAAGAAGCATGGTTGGGATTCGGTCGCAGTCCAAACGCTGCGAGATGCCTTAAACCAAGACAGGGATGGGGCTATTGCTGCAGTCGTTATGGACGAGCACGTAGCCAACATCTGCCTGATCACCGACTTCCAGACCCTCTTGAGACAGAGAGTGAGTGGCTCTGGCAGCGGTAAAGGGAACCCTGGCTCGTCTAGAGAGGACAAGGCCGTCAGGCGATACTTTGACAAAATACTTGCAACCTTGCTCCGTGCCATCGATTTTTCCCAACCACGCCCACTCCTCCTCGCTAGCCCTGCCTACGTCGCGACCAATTTCAAGCAATACATCTCCGAAGAAGGCGCAAGACTTGTCGACAAGAAATTGATGACCCTGGCGAAAAACGTCACAATCGCCCAATGCTCCAACGGGTCTGTGCACTCGCTGAACGAGGTGCTGAAGAAGCGCGAGGTCTTGGCCCTCATGAAGCAGAGAAAATCCACATCCGAGACGAAATACCTGGACGAGTTGGCGGAAAGAATAAGGAAGGATGATGGCCGGGCATGGTACGGTGTGAAGCCCGTGGCAAAGGCCGTGGCCGAGGGAGCGGTAGGCCGAGGCGGCGGCGTGCTGCTTATCAACAACGATTTGTTCAGGAGTCAGGATATCGCCACGAGGAAGCAGTACGTAGCTTTGGTTGACAAAGTCAAGGAGGATGGGGGCGAGGCGAGAGTGCTCAGCAGTGACCACCAGAGCGGGAAGAGGCTAGAGGGGATGGGAGGTATCGCTGTGATATTGACATACCCAATATTCGACCTGGACGATACCGACGATGAGGACGGCGGGGCGATGGAAGACACAGGAAGCATGATCATATGAGGTCGCCAGATGAGCCGTGCTGGCCTGGGTGGGGATCGAGAACACGCTCAGCCATGGATCCCCTCACCGGACGGTCGAGCATCAGAGATCTATGGTGTATCGCTCGGGTCCAAACCTTAGATGAGCGCAGTCTCGCCCGCCCAGCTCTGTTTGGCAATGCGGCCAGACATGAGTTTCTCGAGTAGATCGCTCAGTCGACTAACAGGAGACTGGGGTTCTGGCGATTTGACCTGGAGAGCACGCAACCTTCCGTGCTCGGCCAATAGAGAACGGATTCGCACCTAAACAGACTATCAGTCTGCACGTGCAGAGAATACTAATACTGGCCGGCGGGTAAGACCACAGGTTGAGACGCTGCCTCGTCATTCAGAAGGAAGATCAGGGAGGCAGAGAGTTTGCACGCATTGTCTGCAAGAGGAGTGATGGATGTAGAATTATCTACGCCATCAGTCAATTTGCCGACAGATACCTGATCATCAGAAGGGTGTCTTGTCAAGACCAGGCAAACTGGTTATTCTCAATTTTGTCTGAAGCGCTTGAAATACACCCACAAAAAACACCTGCCATGGATCCTGCTGCTATATGTATAGGAGCATGCCTTGTCATTCGATCGGATGCTCCAAAGGTGATTACGGATTTCGTTGTAATCGAACTAATGATCTTACCCCCTGGCGCTACATAGATTAGAATAACAGGACTCTGAACAGTGATCGCCCTATCTGTTTTCGCCGCTGGAGACAAAGGGTGCTGGAAGGAAGTATTCCCTCCTTAGCTAAACTGACATCGCTAGGTAAATCGTTGTACTACTATGGTTACCTGCCGCATGTACCCCTCCCGCAGCCCAACGCCGTGTCGGTACATCTTGCCGGGGAGAGACTCGACCGGATTGGACGGGGCCAAAGAGACAGCAATTCCCTTAGTCTGTTCTGCCTTTGTCACAAGCCGGAACAGCCACTTCGGACGGTCTGACCCGCGTCATCATTCTGACATCAATCCATCCAAATGCGGAACAGAAGCTCACTCCCTCACCAAAAACGCTGCCCTGTGTTGAGTAATTTGCGGAACAGTTCAAGCTGACATCCACGCACCATCTTTGCCCACCGCCAAGCCAGGCAAGGCCCTCGACGACCCTTTTCGACATCCTACATTTGGCGCTTGAGGATGTTTATTTTTGGGCAATATGAAGGGAGGAGCTTTTAAGCCAGCAACAAGCAGTGCGAGGCTAGTCAATTACCAGCGCGACCTCACGAATCCACTCTTCTTTACCCCCTTTTGCCTTCTCCCCTGCTGAGATTAAACCGTCTCTGGGGCTGCTTTTTCTTGCGAATGTAAATAAGGCCCCGCAGGATCAATCACAGGCTAGGGCCCCGTTCCCCTTTGCTCTAGCAACCCCTCTGCTCTGATCACCTCGGCCCATCCACGTTTCCCTTGTGGCGGTTGCGGGTCCTCGTTGCTCGCCGCGTGCCTGTCTCTCTCTTTGTTTACCTTGGTGCTCGCAGCTTGTTCTCCTCGTTCGCCGCCTCCTCCTGCTGCTGCTCCTCGGGATCAAGAAGGTCAAGAAACTTTCCCTCCAGAGGAGTGGTGTCGGCTCGATCCCCCCGCGGCGCGCCCAAGCCGGCGCCAGAAACCATCATGGAAGATGGCACCCAGCTCGATGTCAATACGACCCTCACACCCTCAAGCAATGTCCAGACAGAAACAGTCTGCCGGTGACAGCCTGCTGGAGCCATCGACAGACGCGGATGGTAAGCTTGTCTGTCCCTTCACCTCGAAACAACCCCCCTTGCCCCCCACGCCCTCGTGTGTTCCCTCCACGATTCTTGAAGGGCTCAGGAGGCTGATTGGGCCCCACGAGAACAGGCAGACAGAAACCCTCAGCCTCCCCGCCGATCCCAACTTCCATCTCCACCACCATGACCACCGTCGCACCGCCTACTACGACTGCCACGAATAACCCGGCCACCAACTCGGGGAAGGGCTCAACGAGAGCCGCCGGCCTGAAAGATTCAGCAAAGGCGAGTTCGGATCGCGACTCTGCCAAAACCCTAGGCCTCGGTACGGTCCAAGCCACTTCCGCAGCTGCTCAGAGCCCGGCAGGCACCTCACCAGTCAGCCAGGGTGTCGATCCGCTGTCCCAAGTAAGTCAATATTCAGGTCCACAAGACCTGTATGCGCCTTCTCTCCAGGGCGGTTATCGGAGCAGGATCTACTCAGCCCGTAGACCAAGATCCACGTAGGCGCAGCAGCGTCCACTGACAGCGTGCCTCGTCTTCTAGCACATCTTCAAGCCCACAAATACAGACTCTTCTCTCGTCAAGCAAGCTCGGACGCGCAATGCTGCTGCACCGATACCCGACAGCCCCAGATCCCCCCCGGATCCCATACCGCGTCAGAGCTCTGACATTAATAGCAGGCAGCTGGCGAACCTCGCTGATGCTGCCAGGGACAAGAAGTATGTTGCAGATTCCTCCTTTGTGCTTGCTTTCAGGATCCTGCGCGTAGCATGGAGGGATTGTAGACAGATCAAGAAAAGGTGTTGCGCGTTCGTCGGTTGGTGGGGGAAATTTGTTCCGCAAAACTTACGGCTGGGACTGAAGGAGGCGGTACTGGTTCCACGGACATGGCTGACTGGGTCTTCTGCATTTGACCTCTTGATAGGAAGGGCGGTTCATTTCTCAGCCGACTTGGTATTCGAAAGATCAGAGCGGATTTCGACTCCGTACACGACAGCGACTCGGAGCTAGGCAGCGAGCAACGAATGAACGGCGCCGACGCTCGTGTCTTCTCGTCCAACATTGTCGATGCGGGGGGCTTCGTCCCCATCCACAAGGAACCACCGAGATATATCCGGGTCCGGGCGCAGAACAAGCAGAACCACCAACGAGAATTCAACCGCATGTTCCTCGCCCAGGAGCTCGTGGGCACCCATCCTAAGCATACTGGTTCCGAGGAGCAGGCGGACGACAAGGCCCTCATCGTGACGGTGTCGGTGGCGGGCGCAGGCGGCAGGAGGAGGGAGAAGACAGGCGGGGCGATCTGGGCCACCGAATTCTCCAAGGATGGGAAATTTCTTGCGGCCGCTGGCAAGGACGGCGTTGTGAGGGTGTGGGCCGTCATCTCGACACCTGAAGAAAGGCGTGCGCAGGAGGAGGAGGAAGCTTCAATAGCTCCTGTTGGGGAGAGACTCTCTGCGCCCGTCTTTGTCGAGCGCCCAGTCCGCGAGTTCTCTGGTCACACCAACGAGGTTATCGACCTGAGCTGGAGCAAGAACAATTTCCTCCTGTCGACCAGCATGGACAAGACGGTGAGGCTTTGGCATGTTACCCGGGATGATTGTCTGTGCCAGTTCAAGCACAAAGACGTGGTGACGAAGGTCGCCTTCCACCCTACCGACGATCGTTTCTTCCTGGCCGGAAACCTAGACATGACGCTGCGGCTCTGGAGTATCCCAGACAAGCAAGTCGCTTGGAACGTGCATCTACCGGATCTGATCACCGCTGTGGCTTTCACCCCGGACGGTAAGATGGCAATCGCTGGACTTCTGAACGGCGTGTGCATGTTGTACGAGACCGAAGGGCTCAAGTTTCACAGCCAGATCCATGCCAAAAGCTCCAGAGGGAAGAACTCCAAAGGAAGCAAAATCACTGGCATCTCTGCAGTGGCAATGTCCCTAACTTCAGGGGGCAAGGGTACGGAACCCGGTGAGGTGAAGATCATGGTTTCAACCAACGATTCGCGGATCCGTGTGTACAATCTAAGGGATGGCAGCCTCGACACGAAATTCAAGGGCCACGAGAACTCCTGTACGCAGATTAGCGCCAGCTTCAGCGACGATGCCCAATATGTCATCAGTGGGAGCGAGAACAGGAAGGCATTTATATGGAAGACGGGCCCGTCCAATAGCGGAGACTCGGGCAAAGACAAGCACCCATGTGAGAGTTTTGACGCTCACGGCGACATCGTGACGACAGCCCTATTTGCGCCGAAAAAGACGAGACAGCTCCTGTCTGCGTCTGGCGATCCGATCTACGACCTTTGCAACCCGCCACCAGTCGTCCTGATGTCCGCGGATGAGGCGGCCGTCTCGGTATCGCAGGCGGCTCCTTCGGAATCCGGCAGCCAGGATCAGACACCCTCAGCACCAGGCCTGGTCAAGAAGAAGGTGGAGCCGTCGCCGGCCTATATCTCCCGCACAGCACATCCAGGAGGCAATATAATCGTCACGACGGATGATCAGGGCATCCTCAAGGTCTTCAGGCAGGACTGCGCACACAAGCGTCGCCACGAGAGCTGGGAGACGGGTAGCACCCTCTCACAGAAACCTCGCGGCATCATCGGCATAGGACGAACTTCGAGCATCGGCAGCGCCGCACATTCGAGGCGGGCTAGCCTGAGCACGGGAGCCCCGGGCAAGGGGTCTTCCGACATGATTCTCAGCTGGAGACAAAACGTCGAAGGTGGGAGGCCAAAGTCAATCGCTGGGAGTATGACGGCGCCAGCCCGGAGTGAGAGGAGTATCTCGCCCGCCAAAAACATCCGCGGATCATCTACCAACATTGCGGCGGATGCGAGGAAGCTGCCATACTCCCTTGCGTCCCCTCGGCAGGTTCCTGCGCGCACAACTGCGAGCGATGTGCCCGATAGTCCTACGAGCAGTGTAGCAAGTCGCAGCCGTCCAAAGTCAGTTGTGGAGGGCCGCCGGAAGCCCCCACCGCAGCCATTGAAGCTGTCACCTCTCAACAAGGGGCAGGCCGAGGACAAGCCACAGCTCATCACGAAAAAGGGCGAAGAAGACACGTCAAAGCCATCACTCTTGATGTCGCCTCCAGTGCCTTCGTTCTCCTTCAACCCTGCGGTGGAGGAGGAGGGCTCGCAGAATCCCGTAATGCAAACCGATGCAGCTGGCGCCAGTCATGCCTTCTGGAATCTGAACCGCTGGAAAGGCCTCGCGGGGCTCAAGTCCTCGGACGGCAAAGCTGGCGTTTCGAAGAAGCACACCAGAACTAGCAGCGAGGCCATGTCGGGTGTGACAAGGGATGAATCCGATGGCCTCCGACGAAAGAGCTTAGGATCGTCAGTCATCTCTGGCCAGACGTCCTCGCCAACCTCAGAGTCAGCGGACGTCGATAGCAACGGGACCAGTCGGCGGCCAAGTCATCTTCGTGGACATTCCCATCTCAGCACCGTAACGACCCAGGACGAAGATCTGCTGCAGGCCAATTCCGTGATATCGAAGCTGAGCTCCGAGCTCACCAGCGAGAGTGATGTTGACACCGCAGGTAATGGTGACATGACATGCCGCAAATGCCATGCCCAGAAACCCAAAACGAAGAAGATTCAGGGCCAGCAGAAACTCGTCTGTGGGCGGTGTGGGAGCGCGTATACGGATGGGGGATGATGAAGAGTACCCTCTCGTCGACAAAAAGCGAAGTCGGTCCCATAATGCTAGACATTGATATCCTCGGGCTGTTTGCTGCTTACTCTATGCAGTAGATGGATGTATAAGCATGGCGTTGGGTCGGGTGTTGAGGTGTTCATCTTTTTGGAAATCGCTGTACAGCATATACCAACATTAGATATTGCGCCAATCGCATGGTTTTTTTGTATGTTTTTTCGGGGGTGGTCTTTCTTGGGGGCCGCTGAGAGTCGCCGTGCTAGCCTGTGCATGAAACTATTTCCTGGAGCACCAAGGGGCCGAGCATTTATTTAGCCAGCCCCTAAGCCCTAAATTCATTTATTGTTTCTACTCGTCTCCTGCTTCGCCCGAGCGACTTCCTGGCCGGTTTGTATGTGGATAAATCCCAGGACGCAGACAGAGTAGTTCTGACCCAACAAAAACGTGACGCCCACGGTCGAGAACCCGTCGCAGCCGTTGAAAGTATGGTGGAAAGGTGTCGTGGATGGGCATGCACCCGAACATGTAAGACGCATAGCCATTCATCCCTCCTTTTAACACGATTAGATTTTATTATCGTGTCCTGAGCACTGGCGATAGTTGACGCGGTGTAGATGCCATCAGTAGAATAGCAATACCTATGTTGGTTGTTGTCAAGTTTACTTGATACATATGTATCGCAGAAGGTGAGTGGTCTATATGCAGAAACATCACCCTTGTAATTCATTCTGGAGTTGTGCCATTTGTATGTCATCAATCAATAATGAAATCATTTCCAATCACCTTTTGTCTAATAGGTCCCAATTGCAATTTAACACATCCGAGCAACCTCCACTCGCAATTATTATACGATGGTTATGGGTCGAACCACACGTAATTGGTATGTAGATATTGAGTTCTGTTTCCCCATCTATTCTAAGTTCTCAAATTTTTCATCTGGGCTGTGCTTTCCTTGCGCAGTAGATGTAGTCCTCATATACTTCTCGCAGACATTTTCTGTTGACCAGAGTTGCTCACAGTTCGTTCTGGGTCTCCTTGTAACTACATGTTCCAAGCTTGGACAATAATAGTGGACAAAATATTCAGCCATGCGCCTGAGCTCACTACACAGCATGCATGTGGACTCCATTCCTCAGATGCCGGCTCAATGCTTTTGGCTTGATGGCAACTAGCATACAACTCCGAGGTTTTTGGGGGGGGGGTGGGGGTTCTTTCGACTCGGTATCTCGACGGTTGAGCTCAGTTAGCATGACTACATCATCAATTTGATTATCTAGCGAGACCAACTCCATGTGAATCCTCAAGAATGGTTGCTGTCGGCATGGAATGATAGCGATGGCTTGGTATAGTTTCTGCATCATGGAATTGCCAATAGTACCCAGTTCTATCTATTTAAGACAGTGTGAAAGCTGCTCATTCCTCATGACTAACATGCTGTGCCCCTAGTGATTCTCAAGGGATATTGGTCATGAGGTTGAAGCTGCTTGTTCTGCTGAGCCTCAGCAATAAGTGACATTGAGTTGGAAGGACCAATAATTAATCCCCAATAGTCTCAGAAGCAAGACTCGTTGGATCAAATGACTGTTCTGTCTTAATTCATTATGGCTTTGCAATAGTATGCAACTGATTGTAACTAACGAGTACGAGCCATGTTAATTGCCCTTAAGGAATGATCAGTTTGGTGTTTAAGAGAATTGAGAGAATAACATAGTCATCAACTACTGTACCATGCTTCCTTGAAGACCATGTCGTTCCGGACAAAGAGCATTAACACATTATGCCCAACAGATGATTCTCTTGGTCAACTATTCCCAACCCCATACGCAGTGGCACCTCTCCATTAGTTGATCTACTTCTCAGTGGATCCCTCTACCACTGCAATGTTGTCATGAATGTGTAACCAGAGCAGCTCTTGCCTCGCCCTGCCCCAGTGGCATTCAGAACATTCAAGGTGGGATTGGTGGGCACCCCATCTTTGAGACCGGTTAATGTTGAGGTCCATCCTTGGATCCCATATCCACGATCCGAGAGCAAATCAGAACTCCGTTGGTGTGGAGTATGAGACAATGTCTGGGGTTTTCATTACCAAATGCCTCGCCGCCCTTGCGCTGACAATTCAATCTCAACTGTCTGGAACCCACTCTCTGCTCGCCGTCTTGGAACACGCACATCTTGCCCGTCGCCGCGCCGCTAGATAACAATGTCAAGTCGCCGGACAACTACCTACCATGTAGATGAACGGCATACAGGAGAATTCTAACTTTCAGACCAGAGTCAAATGCTGGAGGCCAAGATCACGAATCCCTGGGGCCAAGCAGAACGGCGTGTGGATCTATCCCTATAGCCACTCTACCTGTGATGTCACTTTTAATGGGGCGGAGCGGTCTTTTGAAGGTTTGAGACCAACGCTCGTCTCTGCCGAATCTGACTCGTTGCCAATTGCGGGCTCCCTAGATGCAGAATTTGTATCCAGATGACCAATTTCTTGGGTCTTTCATTTACGTACAACTGTACTGGGGAAGTCCCTTGAGACGGGGGAACCCAGAAAAAAAATAAAAAAAAGACAGAGAAAATGACGCTTCGTTTGAAGGTTTTTTTCTTTTGTTCTCTCGATTCCTTTAAATTCTGAGTTTTCCGGAAAACATGCCGCAGGACAGACAAACTTCACGATTCTTGTGACTTTGCCCGAGTCCGATAACATTCCCCTCCAGTAACACAACCTGCCCCCCCCCCCCCCACTTCAAATCGCGTCTCAGTGACGCCTTTTGCAACATGGCGACTCTTTTCACACATCACGATCATGCTGCGACTTCAGAAAACGATGCCGAGATAGGAGGCACCCGCAAGGGCAGCATCGATTCACCCAGCGGCGGGGAAGAATCCGCAAACCAGCTTCTCGAGTCTCTTGGCTATGTCCAGGAGCTATCCCGCAACCGCTCGACCCTACAGGTAGCCTTCATGTCCTTTGTCTTGGCTGCAATACCTTACGGCCTCTCGACGACAATGTACTATCCGCTGGCCGGAGGTGGACCGGCGAACATCATTTGGGGCTGGATTGGTGTGTCTTGCATCATCATGTGCGTGGCAATATCTCTCGGAGAGATCACGAGCCTCTATCCTACAGCCGGAGGAGTGTACTACCAGACATTCCAGCTCTCGCCGCCGAGATGGCGAAAGATCGCCAGCTGGACTTGCGGTTGGCTCTACATGATTGGCAATGTGACCATCACTCTTGCTGTAAATTTCGGCACTGCACTCTTCCTGGTTGCCTGCATCAACGTGTTCGAAGACGAGGCTGGCGTCGGCATATTCCCTGGTGAGCCCTGGCAGATCTTTCTGGTCTTCCTGGGATTGACGCTGCTGTGCAATGCTGTGTCGGCCTTTGGTGACCGCTGGTTGCCTATCTTGGATGTAAGACGAAGTTTGCCGGTCCTTCCATCTGTGGCGCTTTCACATCGTGACTATCATCTTCCAAACCCGAGGGACATCCTGCTGGAGTATTTCACTTTTGCTGATATGAACCCATATGTGTTGTAGACTGCAGCAATCTTCTGGACTTTCGCTGGCGTGATAGCGATCGTGATATGTGTGCTCGTTCTGGCCAAGGAGGGCCGCCACAGCGCCGAATACGTTTTCACTGCATTCGAACCCCGTTCCGGATGGACACCCGGCTGGTCCTTTTGCGTTGGCCTCCTGCAGGCCGCGTATGCCACATCCTCGACAGGCATGGTTATTTCGTAGGGCTAACCTTCCGTTGTGTTAAAAACAACAATATCCAGACCTTCCCGGATGAAAGCTCTTTGACATGGCTGACTAACTTATCTGTACTTGTAGCATGTGCGAAGAGGTGCGCGAGCCTGCTACCCAAGTCCCCAAGGCCATGGTCGGCACGATCGTCCTCAACACCTGCGCCGGACTGCTGATCCTCATTCCCTTGGTCTTCGTGATGCCTGACATCGATGGCCTCCTCGCCCTCGCCTCGGGCCAGCCCGTGCCCTCCATCATCAAGTCCGCCGTCGGTTCCGCGGGTGGTACCTTCGCCCTCCTCGTACCCCTCCTGGTCTTGGCCATTATCTGCGGGATCGGGTGCACGACTGCCTCGTCCCGATGCGTCTGGGCCTTCGCGCGCGATGGCGCCATCCCTGCAAGCCACCTGTGGAAGAAGATTGACGGGCGGCTGGGCGTGCCATTCAACGCCATGATGCTGTCTATGGTTGTCCAGATCGCCCTCGGTCTGATCTATTTTGGTTCCAGTGCGGCTTTCAACGCCTTCTCTGGTGTTGGCGTCATCTGCTTGACAACCTCGTACGCGATGCCAATTGCCGTCAGTTTGTTGGACCGAAGAGAGTCGATCAAGCACGCGAGCTTCAATCTTGGTGCCTTGGGCGTCGTGTGCAACTACATCTCCATTGGTATGTGAGCTCCTTGTCTCATCGTGTAGTGCTGGTTTCATGTCGTTGTTCTCTTGCTGACAACAATGTCGTTTCGAACAGCATGGTCTCTGCTGGCCGTCCCGCTCTTTTGCATGCCGACTGTTATCCCCATCACGGGAGCAACTATGAATTGTACGTTGAGACCATGTACATCCCCGCAATTTGAAAGAATGGAAGCTGACAGTCGCACCTCAGATGCATCTGTGGTCTTTGTGGCGTTCACAATGATGTCCATTGCATGGTATGTAGCATGGGGACATCGGAACTATGCCGGGCCGCCGACATGAGTAATGTGCAGGACCTCGCCTGCTTGACGACTGACGCCTAGAACCCCATCACTCGGACGTAGAACTTAGGATATAGGCGTACTTCTCAGAATTTCAAAAGTCATTCCGGACCGTGCCTCTGTGGAACTATTGTTTCACCTCTGATCTTATGTGAAGCTTCCAATTATGAGTTGAGAGCCCGCAAAGGGCTTACGGCTGGCTGTGGCAAAAGTGTCGGCATCCGATTTGAGATCGAGCAGGTCTCAGGGCCAAAAAAACCCCCTCCCCCCAAAAAAACCCAGGCTCCTGAGCCTCGCTGAGGCTACCTCGTATTCGTCGTTAGAGCTGATGATGACGATAAATCTCTTCGTCTGAGACTGGTGCTGAGGCTACGGACAGCAAGCAGATGGCAGCGTGGAGATAGTTCTCAAGAAGCTGTTCATATGCCCGAAGTCTTAGCTCAAGAAAGATTCGATAACGCGACGGAGAAGAAGTATACAGTATGTGAAACAGTACCTTACTCACATAACACGTATGTAAACTATCAATGTGACCAGATACAGCTATACCGTCGTTCATTGTCAACCTGACGTGTTCATTCCGTTGACAGGCGAAAGTGACCAAGATTTCGAGCCATCACCACCACATTGCAACTCATGCGGGATAATATGCTAGTTAGGAATCACAGCAATGATTGGTGCAAGGGCTCGCCAATGACGAAAAATTCCGTCAAAGCCTTAGCTGGTGCATATTCCACTCATGTTGCTACACATGATGTTGTCTAAGTGCTCGCCAGATGCGCCACGGCAGCTTCCAGCTGTTGCGGATCTGGAATGGATCGAAGTTGGCCTTCTCGATGCGTTCCAGATAGTCGCTCGAAGGCACAGCTTCGAGAAGCACGCCAAAGCCTCGTTTGACTTCAGCCTTGGTAGCGCCCTCCTCGTAGGCGCCCTCATACAGATGACCAGACTCCCCTTGGTGCTCATACTCGTGGCCAGGGTCCATATTCTGGTGGATGTTGTTCAACATGTCCCGAGCTGTGATGAGATGGTCATTGGCTCGTGTCGCCACCTTGAAGATAGCGTCTTGGAGGCCTGGCGCATTGGGTCCATGACGGAAGACATCCTCCTCCCGCAAACCCACTTCAGCCATGACATCGAGCGGTAAGAGAAGCGCCTGGCTCCTGTTGTTTCCAGCTTCGACGCCGCCGGCGGGAGTTTGGACAGGCCTCGGTGGCGCAGCTAGAATGGGAACACCTCGGAGAACAGCCACTATACCACAGGCCTTGCCAATGTGGCTGGCGAGGTGATCCATATGGACAGAACGCATGCCCATGGCAGCCAGTGTAATGTACATCAGAGTCGAGTATGTGTTCTCGGCGTAGTCCTCGAGAGCAGCCAGGTTGGTGAAGGGTCTGTTGTCCATGAACGCCTCCCGGGTGTTGATGAAGCGCAGCAGCCAGAACTTGATGGAATTAGCGGCGGTGCTTGAGCCGGTCCTCTCGGCGAGATCTGTAATGTTCTTGTGAAGGAGGATGGAGATGGGTTCCCGTGGAGGGTTGCCAGCAAAAGTCTTGTTGACGGTGTCCTTCCAGAATTGCAGCCTCAGCTGGCGTATTGTGGGATTTGACACAGTCTCTGGGAGCCTGGCGAGCTCAAGGTTGAGCGTGCGCAGAGCATCGTAGGCATGCTGAGCAGAACGAGGCACAAATTGGCGGATGAGATATGCGTCGTAGTCGCCGTGTCTATGGAGAAGTCAGAAACTGGCCTTGGATGGGAACAAGAGTTTAAGGTAGCTTGGAGGGTACAACAGACCTCAGCTGGCCGACACAATATTTCCGAGCACTCTCAACATCTGCCTCTGTGACGACCCCTCGTCTTGACGCGAGATTGAGGTTGATGTCGAGACTACTGAAGTTGCCTATGCGCCGAGCAAACGGCCGCACTGAGCCCCGCCCCAGGCTCCGGGAAAACGACATTGACCGTTGGATGTTGGATCTCATAACGGATGCGCCATCTTGCTGTCTTGTCGTCGTTGGTAGAATGCAATTGGTGATACGTGGTCGAAAATGGCAGCAAGGCTAGGAGAAGAAGTGTTAATGTGCCTTCCTAATTGTTAGATGACGAGAAAAAGTACAGTGAAGAGCCGGTTGCTGCTGTCAATTGCCGAGGTGGCAACTTGCATGCTGAGAAGTATTGATCAGCCAACGTGGATCGAATGATGGTGTCTTGACACCAAAAGCCTATCTGTCAATACCTCGTAGTGACTTTGGCCGCCACCAATTTCTTGCAGTCCTTCGTGTATGTGTGTATCTATCTCCTTCCGGTTCTTGCGAATCTTGCAGCTTCCAAATCGTGACTTCTCAAAAGCTAGGACCTAACGTTAGCGCCTGTGGGCGGGTGCGTAGTGGGTTCTACAGGCTGTCAACCCACTAAATATCACTATGAGATCGCCTGCAGTGGGCACTCTGACAAAACGCGGTCAGCTGATAGGTCTTTAAAGTGGTGACGCCAGGGAAGTCGCGTCTCGCCTCTTGTCGCGTCTCCTGTCCTCGAAATGAGGTCCTGCCTCCACAAGGCCCTGACAAAGAAAGCCTCGACACACGTTTTCCGCACCAGCACCGCGGACCGACTCTCGACATAGTGTCAGACTCTCGCCATGGTGACTCGCGCAATCGGGTCACATATAGACGACGAGCCTCCAGCGAAAAAGAGGCGGTTTTTCGCTGGTCCTGACGATGACGCCGGTTTCTCAGCCTCCTCCAGCCCGGCAGCCGTGATCCCCGCCGCATCGTCCAAGTCACTCGCTGACCCATTACATCCTCACTCCTCCCCTGTCAACTCCTCCGCGTCGCAGCCCGATGTCGAAGCTGAATCTTCAATATCCGGTCACTCGGGGCCGCTGGCCTTTGATCAGCACACCTTCGAGACCTTCGTTGGAGATAAAGTGAAGCCTGATGTGCTGGATCTCATTAGAGACCATTGTGGTGACAACATCGAGACGGCCGTTAATATGTACTTTGATGGGACATGGAAGAAATTCAAAAAGAAAGACATCAGCGGCAACACGGCGTCTGCCCGACTAGCCGCGCCGTCAAAACCGAAATTCCACGAGACCCGACCACCAGATGCCGATTTAAGCCTACACGACGCTGTCAGATTCATGCCTGCTTCCCGATATATCGGTGCGTTTGGCGTGGAAGGGTGGGCGACTAGGAGTGGCGCCAATTTGCTGCATCACGGCGATGTTGTCAAGATTGAGAGGCAGAAGATCCAGCCTCCCAAGAAAGCCAGTTTGGCGGCCATGAAGAGGGTCGATGTCGTCGTTCGGTTCACCAACGATAAGGGTGTCGAGATTGGCCGCCTGGCCAAGGACACGGCGAACTGGGTATCCTCGTTGATTGACCAGAGGGTGTGTAGGTTCGAAGGGACCTGCGTTTACGCACCTGAAAAGCTTAGGACCAACGACACCGTTTTCCTCCAACTGCGGTGCTCCTTGCTAAGGTCCGCATTCGAACAGCGAGGTTTCCAACTTTCAGACAATAGAACTGCAGGGCTTTTCGAAGAGAAGGAGACATCGGGGGAGCGCGATCTTCGCATGCGCCAGGTAGCCTTGGTCAGGCTGTTCCAGGAGATCAGTTTGAACCCGTCCAAGATGAATGCCGCTGCCGCCAGACACCAGCGCCAGGGCCTTCTTGACGCGGTTGACCTGGCAGAGAAACGCGACAAAGAGGCTCCAAAACTAGGAAGAGGGGATGCCGGGTCATCCGCGACGTCAGAGGACGAGGACGGTGAAGAATTACAACAGGACCAGCTTGACTCGCTCTACAGAAAGGCACAGTCGTTTGACTTTACAACCCCAGGGGCAGAACCGAGTGAAACCTTTGCAATGACTCTGCGTCCCTACCAGAAACAGGCTCTTCACTGGATGTTATCTAAAGAAAAGGACGAGAGGGGGAAACGGCAGGAAGCATCAATGCACCCTCTTTGGGAGGAATACATCTGGCCGGCCAAAGATTTTGACGACAAAGACCTACCTCGCGTGGCCGACCAGCCATGCTTTTACATGAATCCTTACTCTGGAGAACTGTCCCTCGACCTTCCTTTACAGGAGCAACATTGCCTGGGCGGTATCCTCGCTGATGAGATGGGGTTGGGCAAGACTATTCAAATGCTTAGTCTAATTCATACTCATCGGCTCCAAGTCCCCGAGGATGCCAAAATATCGAGTACTGGCCTTGTGTCTGTCAACGACCTACCACGTTTGCCTTCGGTAGCAGTCGGTAGTGATTCTCGCACCACTTTGGTTGTTGCACCTATGTCGCTTCTTGGTAAGTAGCCTTTTCCCTTGAGGACCCCAAGCCAAGGCAGCACAGCGTTGGAACACAATATTAACAATGAACAGCGCAGTGGCAGAGCGAGGCTGAGAACGCATCGAGAGAAGGGACACTTAGATCGATGGTGTATTACGGAAACGATAAAACAACCGATCTTCGGACCCTCTGCTGCTCAGCTCAAGCAGCCACGGCACCAGACATTATCATTACCAGCTATGGCGTGGTTCTCTCAGAGTTCAACCAGATAGCATCCAAGGGTGGTCGTAAGGATGGCCATCGCGGCATTTTCTCTGTTAATTTCTTTAGAATCATTCTCGATGAGGCTCATAACATTAAGAACCGGCAGTCAAAGACCGCAAAGGCGTGCTACGAGCTCTCCGCCGAGCACAGATGGGTGCTCACTGGCACCCCGATCGTCAACAAACTTGAAGACCTTTTTAGCCTGGTTCGGTTTCTCAAGGTGGAGCCTTGGAACAATTTCTCGTTCTGGCGTACATTTATTACTGTGCCCTTCGAATCAGGCCATTTCGTGAAAGCCTTGGACGTCGTGCAGACCGTGTTGGAACCGCTGGTTATGCGGCGAACCAAGGATATGAAGACGCCGACCGGTGATGCGCTCGTCGCCCTGCCTGCTAAGCACATTGAAATCGTCGATGTTGAGTTTTCAGAGACCGAGCGAAGCATCTATGATTACATCTTCACCCGTGCCAAGAGAACATTCAACGACAATGTTCGGGCGGGGACCGTTATGAAGGCTTTCACAACCATCTTTGCCCAGCTTCTGCGGCTGCGCCAGAGCTGTTGTCACCCAGCTCTTGTCCGCAACCATGAGGTCTTGGCAGATGAAGACGAGGCTGCCGCGAGCGCCGACGCAGCGACTGGTTTTGCTGATGACATGGACTTGTCGTCGCTGATCGAGCGATTCACCGCGGATACCGACGATGAGAGAGATGCAAATGCTTTTGGGGCTCATGTTCTGCAGCAGATCCGAGATGAAGCCGCCAGTGAGTGCCCTGTGTGTTGCGAGGAGCCTATGATCGAGCAGACTGTCACAGGATGCTGGCATTCAGCTTGCCGGAAGTGCCTCCTTGATTTCATCAAGCACGAGACCGATCACCATGTCGTTCCGAAGTGCTTCAATTGTCGTCAATCTATCAACCCTCGAGACTTGTTCGAAGTTGTCCGGCACGATGACGACCCGGAGGTGAGGTCAGGACAGACAACCCCGCGCATCAGCCTCCAGCGGCTTGGTGTCAACTCTTCCTCTGCCAAAGTGGTCGCTCTAATGAAGCACCTGCGGGCCCTACGCAAAGAACACCCGCGAATGAAGTCTGTCGTCTTCAGCCAGTTCACCTCATTCATGTCACTCATAGAACCTGCCTTGTCAAAAGCCAACATGGATTTCCTGCGTCTGGATGGATCTCTGGCCCAGAAATCCCGTGCGGCTGTGCTGAACGATTTCCGCGACGCAGACAAATTCACTGTCCTACTGATTTCTCTCAAAGCCGGCGGTGTGGGGCTCAACTTGACGTCGGCTAAGCGAGTGTTCATGATGGATCCGTGGTGGAGTTTTGCAGTGGAAGCTCAGGCCATTGACCGCGTGCATCGGATGGGACAGGAGGATGAGGTCAGGGTTATTCGATTCATCGTGAAAGAGAGTGTCGAAGAGAGGATGCTGAAGGTGCAGGAGAGGAAGAAGTTCATGTGAGTCTGCATTGTCTTTCAAATCGGTTACACAGGCCTTTCTCAAAAAATTAGGCCAACTCAGAGAAGCTAACCCCCCCGGGCAGTGCCACGTCTTTAGGAATGATGAACGACGAAGAAAGGAAGATGCAACGCATCGAGGATATCAAAGAGCTTCTCAGCTAGTCTGTCTAGTACGATGATCCTAAAATGACCTAAATGTTTTGGAAGACCGAAGTAATCCTAGACATATCTGCTGCTTCTTTGTTCATCTTGCAACCAACAGCGTTTGCACACGATTACCAAATTTTGGCTGCGGCCTGCCGACCCCGAGGCAGCAATTCATTGGTGAAGGCCATTTCCATACCAACCTCTACTTTGTCAAAATCCAGATGATCCTATGCCACAGAACCGGCGAAGTTCATGGGCCTTGCCGAGTCGCCAAAGCGGGAGGGAAGGTCCAGATCCGATGGCTCGGTAATTGATATCCGGATCGCTGTGGAGCCCGCGAACTTGTCATCACGCACCATCTTTCTACTGCATTTCACCTGCAAAATTTTTTCGGCAGAATCTGCACAGATCCCGCGTATACAAGGCGGCTTGACGGTTGAAGGACCGGGTCAAGCCGGTGCCGTAACCCGGCAGCCCGGCAGCGTCGAGCAATATGAGCAACGAAGCACGACAACTTCCCCGAGCATTCCCGTGCTAAACCCGTAACTTACAAGCCGTATTTCGATGGCATGAAGAGTCTTCCACTTCTTTTGACTTACTGACCGACTTTGCAGCGTGCTGTTGGGCAGCGAGAAAGCGAGCAATTCTCCTGCGACGTGTTGTCGTGCGTGACTCTGACCGCTGCTTGCTGTTTATAAATACGAGAGACCCGCTCCCGAGCTCGGAACTGGGGCTTGACTCTCGAAACCCAGCATATTTTACACTGCCGTCGTCTCTCATTTTTGTCCCTTCTTGACAAGACAAGAAAAGTCCTCGCCCCTGACCTAGCCGCACGTCGTTCTAAAATCTCGAAGTCGCTGCCGAAATGGTGGTAACAGAGGCGGACGCGAGCCAGAGTGCGCCCGGCGAGGAAGGTATGCCATCGCTCTAGAACGAATATCGAATAGCACATCAATATGGGGGAATACTGACCTAAACTTCAAGATGTCGCCGGTGCCAACCTGGCGCAGACGTTATCGAATATAAGGCCCCAGGCCGAGGCTGCTGTGGTGACATCCGACGACTCGGAGGTCGAGGGTGCGGAACCTTCGCCGAGTCCTTATGACCGATTCCCACCGCACCGCAAGACGCTCATGGTCACTGTTATGGCGTGGTGTGGTCTTCTGTCACCTATCTCTTCTACTGCAGTTCTCAGCGCTATTCCAGAGGTCGCTGCGTCGTATCACACGACAGGATCCATGATCAGCCTTAGCAATGCGTTATACCTTGTCTTTATGGCACTGAGCCCTTGTGTCTGGGGGCCCTTGTGTCAAGTAATAGGACGAAAGACGGTTAGTACCTGCTCCTCTTGGGTACTGGGCTCGTTAGGATCGACCATGGAAGTGAAATTCTTGCTGACACATGTACAAGTCCTGCTTGACGACCGGCGCCATGTTCTTTCTTTGCTCTATCGCCACAGCATTGGCCCCCAATATCGCAGCCTTCTTCATATTTCGGATGTTCACTGCCTTCTTCGCCACAGCTTTCCTGGTTATTGGGCCTGCCATAATAGGAGATTTATTTCATCCGACAGAACGCGCCACGGCTCTCTCGTGGTTCTACACCGGCGCACTGGTCGGCCCCACGATCGGCCCGCTCATAGGGGGAATCATTTGCACATTCACCTCCTGGCGCGTCATCTTCTGGCTGCAGGCAGGCCTCGCTGGAGTGGGCATTATCGGACCATTTTTTTTCTTGCGCGAGACGATGATTGTGGATAAGAATAGCAAGAAGGTGATTCTTGCTAATCTTCCTACGAAGATGGACAAGGCTAAGTACCTCGCACGGGTGACCAGCCCCCTTCGCCCGATCGGCCTGCTGCTCAAGTCTCCGAATCTCATCTTAGTGGCTCTGGCGTCAGGTACACTCGTATGGAACCAGTACAGCCTTCTTACGCCCATCCGCTACGTCCTCAACCCCCGATTTCACCTTCAGACACCGCTACAGTCCGGGTTGTTCTACCTCGCCCCTGGCACGGGCTGCATCGTGGGGACGCTGGGCGGCGGCCGATGGGCAGACTACGTCGTGAAGCGCTGGATCACCAGACGAGATGGTCAGCGTGTTGCCGAGGATCGACTTAGGAGCTGCATCGAGTTCATGGGCTTCATCAGCTCTGCCTCTATGCTGATCTACGGATGGTCTGTCGACCAGGCCGTAGGCGGAATTCCCTTGCCGGTAGTCTTCATGTTCCTGCAGGGCGTCGCGCAGAGTTTCTGTTTTCCCAGCCTGAACACGTATTGTCTGGATGTGGCACAGGCGCGCAACAAGAGCGCCGAGGCCGTGGCAGGAAATTTCATGGTGCGATATCTTTTTGGCGCTGTGGGTTCGGCGGTCGTGTTGCCTGCAACTGAGTCGATTGGCGTGGGTTGGTTCAGCACTATCTCTGCGCTTCTCATGGTGGTGGGCGCGTTGGGACTTTGTGCTACCGTCAGGTGGGGACGAGCATGGCGGGCTAAATCGGAAGAGCAGCGCAAGGAGAAAGGTCCTGCTGCCGCGGCGGAGTCGTAACAGAAGTAGGCTCGTCGCACAACGGTCACGCCGTACAGTACTCGGCCTCGATGTCTCATCGTCATGAAGTCCATTTTCCCTCTGGGACTGCTACGTCTTCAACTGGCGACCGCAGCCTGCACCTCCCTGACTTGCTCCATCGTCGCGGTCTTCTCGTCCACCTTCTTCCCCTTGCCAAAATTTGCCCTACCACTCTGAAAGATCTTATCAAACTCATACTCGCCCCACCTGATGTCTGGCGCCAGACCTGCAAACTTCCACACGCCATTCACTTTTCTGTACCAGTGCTTGTTGTAGCTGTGTGCATGGCCCTTAAGCCTGACCTCCTGAAGTGAGGCGTCCGTGTAGACCTGGTGCGGAACGCGAAGCTGGTGGTGACCGATTACCTCCGTGTCCGAGACCTTCTCCCAGCGCGAGCCGCCGATGAAATGCTGCGTGCACAGCAGCGGATTGCCTAAGACGGAGGTGTCGCTGATCATGGCGAGGAACTCGGAGGCGGGCATGGCTTCCCATATCTTGTCGAGAAAGGAACGGTAATCCACCTTGGAGGCAATGAGTTTCAGGAAAAGGTGAAGGAAAAAGAAGGGAGAAGGAGAGAAAAAGAAAAAGAGACGAAGAGAAGTAAGAGGGAACGGGAGGGGCTCACTCGAATGGTGGGAGCAATACATTTGCTCAAACGCTCCCAATCTTTGGCATCGTAGCTGTCAGCCCACTCGAAGAGAGCGGCATTCAGCTCGAGATAATCTTAGATTCGATCCCGTTAGACAGTCTCCATCACAAATTTTCATATCACAAGAAATTACCACCTTACCAGGGAATGTGATCTCATCTGAAATATTTGGCTTGGAACCCATAGTGACCAGATGTTGAGCTGTCCACTTATACGGGAGGTTTTTTGGTTTTTTTTCTTCTTCCTTTGTTCAACGAAGTGGAACCCGAAATAATGAACTTAAAAAAAAAAGATCTGAGAAAGGACGGCATTTTGAAAGATTTGATCTGTTCTCCTTTTGCTGGACAAGCATATTGTCCGGTCCGTGAACACCGGACCCGGACTCCCGGAGGTGTGTTGGGGAACTGCGCAACAGGCCGCCGTCGGGCCTGCGTAGAGTTGAGATGGTCCGAGTTTTGGACGACCTGGAACTCCTGAACGGCGTGGTCCTCTTTGGACCACTCGCTGTTGTGTGATGGATAGAGCAGCACGAGCTGAGAGGCGTCACGGGTATGTTGACCAATGATCATTGACAATGAACGCCACCGCTGGGTGAGATTTAAAGACTGCGTATATTTTATGTGGCATGAAGTACTTGATTTTGTACATTAGGTAGACTTTCCCATAGATTATAGATTGTATCTAGTAATTCCAGCTGCTCCCTGCCTTGGGGGTTTTCCCTTCTATCAACATATCAAGGATGATTAGTGTGTGAGACCAGTACTATTACAATGGTGCTTCGCGCCAGACTTTCAAGCGGATGACGCAGCACACATCTCTGTACGAGCCTAGGTTTCCTGCTACATAATATACGTTCCGTTGGCGACGTCGAAACCGTAGGCACCAGCCATCCTTCCTTCACGAAACCTTCCCTTATTCCCATCGGCCGCCGTGGGGTGGCTGCATTTTCACGAATCGCTAATCCCTCGTTCGGGTTGTCTCATCATAGCAGACGTTATATCCCTGAATATGGGAGAGAATTGGTGCTTCTGCTATGAGCTTCGCATTATAGACCTTGGTGGGGTCATGGGCGCAGGGGAATCGGGCAATCTCTGGGCAAGCACCTGAATGGAGTGCTCGATACGCTGCGTTGACCTGGTCATGCGCCTCTGCTGGCACGAAAGGTCTCGCAGGGGCTTCCGTTGAGGCGAAGCATGATCTGAAGAGTGGTCGTCATCTGTGAGGTCGATAAGGAGAATTGGCGACGTGGGAGGATGCCGGTTGGACTGCGTCCCTTGTCCCGACGGACGAGGCGGGTTGGCTCTGCGTAGCTGTGCAATAACGTTCTCCTGGTTTGTTCCTGTTGGATTGGCAGCCAACAACTTTGCTGGGGCCGTCGTCCTCGCCGCCGACACCGAAGCCGGTGGCTTGACAGCTGTAGGCTTGACAGCTGCTGCTTTTGCTTGTACAGGCTTCGGTCGTGCCGAAGTCCGACCTGAGGGTGCCCTACCCCAGGAGCGAGCAATGGACTCAATTCGGGATGCAACTAGGTCTCGTGCTTTATCTCTTGGGGTGCCACTCCTCAGCAGCTGATCGTAGGGAGTCTCGGCGTGGCGAATGTGAGCCCTCACGGCCAGGCGAGCCCTTTCGCGGCCCGTGAGTGTCCCCGTCCTGCCAACCTTGCCCTTCCCCTTCTGCAGTGCCGTGTTCAAGACCCTGGGGAGCGATGAGGAGGGGATCCGTGGGAACTCGTGCAGGATGAGCTTCTCGAGACTCTTCTCGATGGACGCGTCTCGCTTCTGGACGTTGGCAGCCCGGCCTGCTCGGGTCTCGGACTCTTGCTGTCGCACGTGTTGTAGGATGGCGGTGGGGACAGCAATACCGAGCTGCTTCTTCTTGCTGGAATCGAGAACAACATGTACAGTCTGACTGACTGCCTGAGTCTGCCTGCGGCAGTTTCCTGTGATGTATGCGTTCCCCTTGCGGATGAAGGAGTAGCCTTGAGGCAGAGATCGCAGACTCACAGACGGTTCATCTGCTGCCATTGTGCTGGTCCTGGTATGAGGGTGTGTTGTGATTGGGCTGGTGTCTTGGCTTGTCTTGGGCTTCGTGATTGATGATAAGAATTTGATGTTCTTAAGCTGGTGTCTCGTTGTGGTGTTGCTTGTAGTGATGACTTCATGGGCAACCAAGGTCGTAGATGGATGTTAGAAGATGAGGCAAGCTCCAGGAACAGAATCAGAAGAGGAGGAGGAGGAGGAGGAGGAGGAGGAGGAGGAGGAGGAGGAGGAGGAGGAGGAGGAGGAAGAGGAGGAGGAGGAGGAGGGGAGCCTCAGTCCATAACAGAGTCACCATAAGAGATCCAGATCTAAAGTCAAAGACCTCTGTTGGGTGTTTGTCGATGCAGGAAACAAAGTAAACAAAGGGCCTCGGGCTATTTTGGGACACCTGCCTCGACTTTCTTTCAGGTTCCTGGACCTGACTTGCAGCAGCCAACTGACAGGTATGTCAGGTGGTTCCATTATTTGAATAAAACAGTCATCACAATGCTGCTGGTCATCATTCTTCTTTTCTTTACCCCAAGGTCAAGGCGTAGCAGGCATATATGAAGATTGTGAGGATGGCGGCCATGTCCACAGCACAGCTCCATGCTAGCATGACTAACTACCCTAACCCTGTGTTCATGAGGTACATATCAACATCTCAGAGAGACATTATGAATATCAACCTTGAAGCCTGTTTCATTGCCTACATAATCTCTAATGTCTCTTTGTTCTTAGACTGCAGCTTTCCCCACTGGATCCGTGTCTTACAGAATTCTTAGTATCCAGCCGTCTGCCTCTTGCTCCTCCTTAGCGTTGAGTCCTCCCCAGAATACGACAGCCTTCCCATCGGCGCAAGGGCTCGCCCCAAAAAAACCCCTCGGCCCGGGGTGGACTTTCCCCTCGTGCTCAAGCTGTTCTGTCGGCACAATTTCCACCTCTGCCCAGCTGTAGGTTCCCGATTCCACACTGCCGGGGAGCTTATCCCGGATGGCGTCCTTGACAGCCGCGGCACTGAAGCCTCGTGAAGGGACCTGCAGCGACCAGACGTCAGGGCGAAACAGCGGCTGCTGCTCACCCCCATCGTCTTGGCCACCTTTGCGCCCTAGCAAGTATAACAAATAGTGGCGGCCGTACCCGGTTGACACGGGCAGCAGTGAAGCACCGGTGCGTGATTTGGGCCCTGGAGCCAGCGGATTCGTGGGAAAGTCCACCTTGTCCCATTTCAGCGCGTCTGGCTTCGCACGCTCTGTAGCGTTGGACCCGAGTCTCAAGACATGTATGATGCCGCCGAGCTCCGAGTCGGTGCTGATGCCATACAGCGTGCCGTCCACAAAGGTAGAGACCCCGGCGAAGGGAGCTGGAGAGGACGGCAGCTGGGTCCACGCGACGGCGTCGAAGTCGTAGAGCCAAGTCTCTCCCGTCTGCCCTGATGCTGTTCTCCCGCCGTGCAGGACTAGGATGTCTTGCTTCTCGTCTACGAAGATGGCATGCCCTTCCCTCGGGGTGAGCGTCTTCCCGATCTGGGTTGCGGCGTGGATCTTAGCCCACCGCAAGGTCTCTGAATCCCAGGTCCAGATGCAGGCGTCCTCATCTATCGGTGCCCCGCTCTCATCGCTGCCGCCGTGGACTAGGAGATACTTGCCCCTCACGCATGCGGCATGGTTCTTTCGGGGAGAAGGGACCTGCAGCTCTCCTGTGGTGGCGTCCTTGACAGGAAGTGCTTGGTAGCAGTTGTATGCTGCCGTGGGTGTCGTTGCTGAGGGGATGGATGAGACGTGTACGTCGGCACTGCAGAGCTTCCCCCCGGCGTGCTCTCCGCCAAAGATGTAGGCCTTGTCACCGATGACAGTGACTGTATGATGAGAGCGTGCGAGTGCTTGCCTACAAGGCTGGTCAGTTCGACGTCGCGTTGGAAGGCCCCTTCCGCCCAATCTCGGCGCTCAAGGGCGGCCGAGCCACTCACAGGGAATCTGAGGGAGGTGAGGTAGTGATCTGGCTCAAGGTGGCCCTGAGAGGCTGTGTTGATCTGGCAAGCGAGGCAGCGGCCCCGACCTCGAGGCCTGTTGAGACGACCTGTTCGGCCACGAGGGCTCCTGCGGCCAACTCAGCCATCCTGCGAGCAGAGAAGACTAGCGTTTCGCGAAGTTGGTCTAAAGAAACGAGAGGACAGGTAGATGGTCGCACAGAGACGGAGATGGATTATGGACACAGCATAGGAGGTATTCCATACATTTATTCATGCACACACAACATGCAGCTGGGGGTTTGCATTTTATAAGGTGATGAGTGCAATGTCGTCGCAACCGTAGTAGCGAGACCCAACACGAGAAACCCCCCTTGAAATGACGTATGGCTTGTGCAATAAGGAGTAAGAGACGGCAGGCACGCAAGGGACGCGCTGACTTCAAGTTGATGGGAGTGTTCTGGCGCAGTACAACACGTTACGTCATTGGTCGCAATTGCAATGTATCACAAGAAGGAGTAGACAGTCGTCCTTTCTCCTCATGCCGAAACGTGTAACCATGGTTTGTAATGTACAATATAGATGTTTCCATGTATGGCCGTCGATATAATGAGTATATAGATATGCAAATGTATGTACATACACACATAGCAGTAAAACAAACCTACCGGTGCTTACTAACTATAGACATAGTAAACAAGATTCCCGACAGCTCCGAGCGGCGATGGCGACTCATGGGCGAGCGGGGGCCGCTTGCCGACACCGGTACCGGTCTTCACTCAAATAAGTCACAACATGCAGTGGAAGGCGCGATGGATCTAAGTTGGGGCCTTTTGCATCATCATTATCATCGAGGCGTGCTCAATTTGTCTCGTGTGACTATTTTCCTTACTTGGAGGCACCAGGGACGGGAAGAAAGAAAAGAGTCAAACATAAAAGATAAAAAAAAATCACTAAGCAAAGATATCATCAACATCGTGGTCGAGGACCGACTTTTTCCATCTTTTCTGTTGTCTTTCCCTAAAGAGGTTTTTCTTGAGCCACTCCGTATATTTATTTCTTCTCCGCCGACTGTCCTACACCATCATCTTGAAAATTTTTCCTCCTCCTCCTTCTTCGCTTCCTCCACAGCTCTGTTCAACACAATCCCCAAATCATGGTCTCGATCGCCGCCCTCTTCAACAAATATGCCTACCACGAGTCGGGACTCGCATCGCTCTGGATCACGGGTCGGGATGCGTGGCTAATCATCTTTGCGCGCTGCTGTCGCATGTTCGCCTATGGCGCCAGCTCGCTCATCCTCGCCCTGTTCTTCAACGAGCTCCAGGTCTCAGATTCCCGTATCGGCTTGTTTCTGACCCTGACGCTCGTTGGCGATGTCATCCTCTCGCTTGTCATCTCCCTGATCGCCGACAGAGTGGGTCGCCGCCGGACTCTGCTGGGGGGCGCCAGTCTGATGGTCTTGGCCGGCCTGACCTTTGCGCTGAGTGACAACTACTGGATTCTTCTTCCGGCTGCCTGCGTGGGTGTGCTCAGTGCTACGGGTGGGGACACTGGTCCTTTCAGGGCCATCGAGGAGTCCACACTGTCGGAGCTGACCGTCCCAGAGACCCGCGCCGACGTCCTGTCTTGGTATATCACGACGGCGGCCCTGGGCTCCGCCTCGGGTACCGCCGCAGCGGGACGTCTTGTGTCGTGGCTTCAGGCCAGGGAGGGCTGGACCCTCCTCGCCGCATACCACGTCTGCTTCGCGGTCTATGCCCTCATGGGCACCCTTGCCTTCATGGCCGCTTTCGTTCTCTCCCCGAAGTGTGAGCTGAAGGTCCCCGCCGCCGATAAGGAGGGCGAGACTGGCGAGGCGGCCCAGGGCCTGCTACGGGAGGACCACGAGCTCAGGCCTGTGGACCACGGCGACGACGACAACATCCATCACAACGACCGGCACAGCGCCGTCAGGGAGGTGACAGGGCGATCGGCGCCAGCGAAGGCCAACAGATTGGCCCAGATATCGAAAGAGACGCGGAATGTCATGTACGCCCTGTGGTTCCTGCTCATGGTCGACTCGCTCGCCGACGGCATGGTCTCCATGAGCCTGACGACGTACTACATGGATGAGAAGTTTCATCTGCCCAAGTCGACCTTGGGCGACGTGCTCTCAGCTAGTTACTTCCTCGCCGCCTGCTCCACGGTCTTCGCAGGGCCCCTGTCGAGGCACATTGGCCTCGTCAACACCATGGTCTTTACGCATATCCCGTCCTCTCTGGCCGTCTTGATCTTTCCTCTCCCACAGAGCAAGTTCCTGACCTTCGCCCTCCTCCTTCTGAGGGTGGGGCTCAACAATATGGACCAGGCACCGCGCGCGGCACTCATCGCCGCCGTCGTCAAGCCCGAGGAGCGCACGGCTGTCATGGGCATCACCAGCACTCTACGCACCCTCGCCAACGTCACAGGCCCGAGCTTCACGGGCCTGCTTGCGGATAACGACAGGTTCTGGATCGCTTTTGTAGTCGGAGGCGCCCTCCGACTTGCCTACGACATCGGGCTGTTTGTCATGTTCATCAACATTCAGCTGTACAAGCACGAGCCTGTCAAGGGCATGGAGCAGACTGCTGTCGTTCGAGTGTCGATGGATGCATTCGATGTGGCGTCCGATGATGATCTGGAGGCTAGGCTACGGCTCTCAAGCGACGACGAGGACGAAGGCGATGACGATAAGGTGTTGCCATCCAAGGGACACATATCGAAGAATCTACCAGTCTAGGTTCCCTGGTCTGTTATCCAACCCCATCTTGTCCCATGGAGGGCAAGATAGATAAACTAGAAAGTGAAGGTATAAATTACTAAGCCCTTTCCCTTCGGCATTGAATAGATAAGATACCCTGTATAAATGCCGGCCCGTTTCGCTCCCTGGTATCGGCTGTATCATAGTATAGCGCCCGGCCGATTGTGGCGCATGTATCAGAATAATGTGCGCGTGTTCACTGCTAACGATATGATAATCGATGGACCACAGCAGCCTGCTCACGGTCACGAGGGTTCAATCTGTCCTCAGATGTCGAGTACAGGAGACTCACCGCCATGCGCTGAGGCTATAAGCGGCAGTGCTGCGTTACACGCTCAACTCCAACCTTGGTTAAAGCCAAGCCCAGCCCCCCCCTCAACACGCCTGATCTGCAGTGCATGCCCGCTGAGTGATTGAGAGGGGAGGGGGGGGGGGATAGTATCTTATCGAGCACCCCAGACACGCATGGCTTGCCCACTGCATCGTTTACGGTAGTGGTAGCCGAGGTAATCACATACCAGTGATAAGTCGGGTATGCATGTCATTTTAGGACTAAGCCATAAAGATACCACAAGCCGCATAGCTCGACCCCAGATATGCCATTTACACATTTAATCTAGGCCTCTCGTGGCCGATGCCGCGGTCCTGACCCTCTTCTTCAGTACCTTCACATCTTTGCCTCGAGAATCCCTCACGCACGACACAAGATGGAAGACACCAAGGTTGAATCACAGGTGAAGTCGACGGTCGATGGCGACTTCTCCGTCGGGGAGACGGTTGTCTTGTCCACGGACGAGCAGCATCTCGCAAAGCTCGGATACAAGCAAGGCACGCTCCCTGGATTGTGAAGTAAACGAAGAAGAGAAAGACCGAGGGACAAATAACTAATAGTGATACAGAGTTCTTTCGCCATCTCGGTCTTTTTGAGAACCTTGCTGCCACGTATATTTCCATGAACTTCGTTTCAGGTTTGTGAAGACAACTCCATTCTTGAGACATACATAATATACTGACTGGAATCAAACGCAGGTATGCCGGTTCTGTTTGGATTCGCCATGTATACCGGGGGACCACAGGCAGCCTTTGCAAACTGGACCATGATTGGAGGGTACGTATAAAAGAAAGCCGATGAGGGACATGTTGTGCTTCCTGCGTGGGCACAGCTCTCAAGCTAAGAGTGTTGTGATGCTGACGGATCTCTATTCAAATCACTTAGCTTCGCACTCATCGTGTCCCTGGCCATGGCTGAGATTGCTTCTGCCTTTCCTACCGCCGGTGGCATCTACTTCTGGTCCTACCGCCTTGGAGGGGACAAGTACGGCCGTTTCCTCAGCTGGATGACGGCCTGGTGGAACTGGGCCGGGTGGATCTGTGTCGTCCCAGGTGTCCAGCAGGGCGCGACCAATCTCCTGATCAGTGGCTTGGAGGTCAGATATCCTGACTCGACCGTGATATACACGGGATGGTTCTCGTGGCTGCTGACGGCGATCGGCATGATCTTTGCCATGCTGCCCAACGTCCTGGGCCAGCGCGCCCTGAAGCTGTACTTTCGCTTCGCTGTCTTCATCTTCTTCGTCCTTTTCGCTTTCTATTGGATATGGTTCCCTGTCAAGGCAGCGGGCAACTTTCAATCTCGAGAGGGTGTCTTTGGTCGATTCTACAACGGAATCAACGAGGGCACCGAGAAGCAAGCTTCTGATTCGTATGCTTGGGTCGTCTGTATTCTCTTCGGCGCCTGGGAATTCTATGGGTCAGTTCTGCCCTCGAAACTTCCAAATGCAGACTTTTGCCCCCTCCCTCCAACTTTTTTTGGGGGCACTTTTGCTAAACCAAGAGACAGATACGATGCATCAGCTCATCTTGCCGAGGAGACTCACGATGCGTCTGACACTGTAGCAAAGGGCATGTGGGGAGCGACGCTGTGTGCGTGGGTCTTATCTGTCCCAGTAAGGAAACATTATATCCTTCCCCCACCCTTTCCCACCCTTTTCAGATGTGAGCTGGACTAACAGACCTTCTCAAACTGCCAGACTTTGATCATGGTTCTGTTTTGTATGCAGGACTTTGACGCCATTGTCTCTGCCGAGTACACCAACAATTTTGCGGAGTACCTGGTTCAGCTCCTAGGGGAGAACGGAGCGGTAGCTGTCTTGGTCATCTTGTGGATCGACTCGACTTGCGCAACCGCCAGTTGCTTCATGTCGGCACAACGAGTCACCTTCGCCATTTCTCGAGACGACGTACTCCCCTTCTCCAAGTACTTCCGCAAATTAAGCAAGAATAAGGTTCCAGTCAATGCCGCCTATCTTGTGCTGTTCCTAAGTGTGGCGATTACCTGCGCAGTCATCGGCTCGACTGTTGCTTTCAGCGCTATCACAGCTACCGCGGTAAGCAGCAGCCTTTTCCCCTGAGAAAGCATCTGACGAGATACTTGTCGAGGTCACCAGAAGGGGGAAATGCACTCCTCCGAGTGGACATTGAACTAATTATATCATATTTTGCTTAAGACCATCGCGACGAATGTGTCCTACCTTTTCCCAATTGCGGCAAGGCACACCATCGGGAGGCACGACTTCAAGCCGGCTGGGTTCAACCTTGGAAAGTGGAGCGTCGTCGTCGGAACCATCTCTTGTCTGTATATCATGTTCCAATTGATAGTGCTTGTCTTGCCACAGGTGTATCCCGTCAATGCGGTTAGTTTCTCCCTGCTGATCCCCGCAAAGCTTCCATGCACTGTCGCTGACTCAACCAAAGCAAACTCTCAACTACGCTCCTATATGCATTGGGATTGTTACTATTGTCAGTTTAGTTGGCTGGATTCTTCCCTTCGGTCTTGGGGGTCGACACTGGTTCCAGGGTCCGAAGAGAACGGTTGGGGTGTCCGATCTGGGAGAGCAAAGTGAGACTTCAAAGGAGTGAGAAATGGAAGCTCCGAAAGGATCGCAGCATTCGGAGACGATTCATGGAGCGGACCAAGATCTTCTGTAGCGTGCGCCAATCGAGCTCCACGCGGGCCTTGTACTCTCTCTCTATATTGAGAGCGAGCTCCGACGAAAGCAACCTCGGCCTCTTCATAGTCTTATTTTAACGTTACACCTCAGAGACCCCCCCCCCCCCAGTGCCTCAGTTGTGAGATGTTACCAGGAACACCGTCTAGGATAGCCTATCAAGTGGCAGGGAAAACATCAACTCCCTTGTCATAACCATGTAATACCTGTGCAGTAGGGAGTACACCAATTGTTGTGAAAGACAAGCCTTGGGTGTAGCTGACGGCTAGCCACCTCAAAGGATGCGCAGCACGTTGTTTTGCAGATTTAAATGCCGCGGACAATGTTCAATAACCTGCTGATTTGGATACTTTACTCTCCAAACGCAGAACAGAGATCACCACAGGGGCTAAACTTTTTCGTATTGAAAAGGAGAACTAAGATTTCCAAGGTCCAGCCAGATCCATACTTGTTGTGGAAACTGTCATGAGCCCTTTCAATCAACAACTATAGGTACTGAGACAAGAGAAGCCAGAATGCCACCGATCTCGGTGCCCATGGCCGCCTGCAGTGTCTGGACAACGACGCCAGCAATTCCACCGACCACGTTTCCAAGGTCATTGGTGAGATTGGCGAGAGCTAGTACGACAGTGATGAGGACGCTCGAGGATGTGGATATGTCTGAATTTGTTAAATGGTGCCGAATTAGTCAGTACCATCTGATAATTCATGTGGCAGGATTGAGTAACGTGTAACGGTACTGGGGTAGTGAGACCTGGTAGACTTACCAACTGCATTTCTCTCGATGCAGCCCTCCATAGTGTACGCAATCTCAGCAGATAGGCTGCCGAGCTCGTTATATATATCTTGCTGGCATGTCGCATCACACTCATCGGCGCCGGCAAGCAGCGGCACGCTCCGCTTAGAACTGCCAGCAAGGGTCGAAGATGTTGTATTTAATGCAATGGCGATCAGATTGTATTCCTCGGTGATGTTGCTATTCGTGGAATTGCTGGACGGTGTTGTCGCATTTGCTGGAAGGCTAGCGAGGGTTCGATCTACCAGGGTGCCCCAATCAGTTATATCCTAAAAAGTAATAATGTTATCGTTCTGTGGCTTGAGGGTACTGCTACCTACTGATATTGGCAGTATGTGTTTTGATAGTCGATGAAAGGGCATCCAGGGCACTCGCAGTGTTTCGTTGAGCCAATTCATGTCCAGCAGAAGCCATGGGGCTTGCAAAGGCGGGAACCAGGGTACAAACGGTGACGAAGATCGCCTTCATCGCGGCAGCAAATGACGGTATATTACAAAATCGAATTTGAAAGATGATTAATGGGGATGCTGTTATCAAGTAACCAGGATGGAAGGAATGCGTAGTATATTATCCTCCTTGGGTAAGAGAGACGAAAGGATCTTGAACAGCCTTGCCCACCAATGTGCAGAAAGATAATTATCATGTTGTGTTTCTCGTTTGTCTTTTTTTTGGGTAGGGGAGGACCGGAGGGATATTATAAACGCTGGGCAACCTCAGAAGCCCATCTTACAAGAATCCGAATTCGCCTTTTGCACATCTTGAACCTCCAGTAAATGGGCTACGCACAGTCAAAAATCAATACGCAGGGACGGTGCTTATACAAGCTGGATCTTCAGAATACGAAGGCGTCCAGCGTGTCGGTGCACGACGACTTGTCCACCCCTAGATTTAGTCTACATCAGACATTGCCCTCTAGGCCTGGATCAGTTACAATGAGAGGCCGGGCGTCGGGCTCTAAGGCCTAGCATGTCCCAAAGGGCTGATAGCCATATTAAGAAGCTGACGGCGGCGTTTCCAAGAAGTGGGCCTCAGGAGACTGGTTAAGTTTGAAGCACGCCGCTCTGGGCAGCCAGAGTGGATGTGGAGGCTGGAGCGGAAACCAAACAAAGCCCAACTGCTCCAGACGGAAACCTTGAAACAATGATAAGATCGTAAAACAGAAAACCCCACAAAAGGTTGGTGCTAGGCGTGACATACCCTGTCAGATGAGCCTTTGAGTGCGATTTGAGTTTTGCATGTTTGGCAGCATGGAAGTAATTGAAGGTTGAAGAACGACGTGCTATAGTATCCGGATTCAAAATCAGATGATCAAAGGAAGCAAGGGAAAAGAGGAACGAAGGATACAACGACGCGGTAAAGAATGATGAATGGAAAGAAATGAATTCACAAATCAAGAGTGAAGAGGAACGAGCAGGCGACTTGCCTGTACCGATGGTTTGAAACGGCAGCAAATGCTTGGGCTTGGTCCCATACCATCGCCAACATAAATTCATTAAAACATGACGAAAACGTTATCCCCCACGATGAGCAGCAGAAGGTGATCGGGCTTCAAAGCAGAGCCGCCCTTACTTTTGCTCCAACGCATTAAGCTCGCTCAAGCCTATTCCGTTCTTATGCTCTCACAACGCTTCGTCGGAGCCCCAGTACTCATGGGTTCGGTCTCCTGAAGCATTGATCTGCCTATCGAGTAGTGATGTTGTGCCCCATCATGATCCATCAATGGGTTGAAATAACGCTACCAGTGTCAGGAACCTTCTTCGTCATGCCCAACTGCATCGGAGCGTCAGATGGAGTAGCACCAGTCTTTCTCTTCTTGAACAGCATGAAGGCGGCCGCGCCGACGATGGCCAGTGATCCGACTATTGTACCGACAGCAATACCCGCAATGGCTCCCTTGCTTAGGCCGCTTGAGCCGCTGCTCGAGGACGAGGTGGAGGTCACGGTCGCAGCGGATGACGTTGCCGTCACGGTCGAGTCGAAGCTCTCCGCAGTCACTGCATTGGAGCTTGTCAACATCTTGCAGGAAGACGTAGGAAGAAAAAGGATTCAGGTCTTCTTACCATTGAAGCATGGAACTTGGACAGAGAAATCGGAGGCTTCGACAAAGTACTGATCGGAAGTGTGGTCTGGTCAGTCATGTTCCTGTTGCCACTAAAGCAGTGTGACGTTGAGAATGGACCAAATTTGGGGGGGGGGGGGGGGGCGCCTTACGACATCTGCACAGGCATAGAACGTCTCATTGTTCCCATTATTCTCTTCTTCGTAGTGGGCCCAGTACTCAAGCTGGATGGTAGCGTTCGATCCTGCAGCGACGGTACTGGGAAGGGAATCGATCTTATAGCACTGGTGGCCAGGCTCAATCTCCGTCACATTGCTCACGATCTGCTCTGTGAAGTCACTCTGGCTTGTCGGATCTGTTCGAGGTTCATTAGCGATACGAAAGTCGAGATGGCGGGGAGGACTGCCGAAACCCAAAAAAATTGCAATCCTACCGTTGTCAAAGGAGATGTAGAAAGCGACCCTCCAAGCATCGTCAGCAATGGAAAGGGCAACCTCTCCTTGCGCTAGGGACGTTGTGAGTACTTAGGCTTGTAGGTGAGCAGTGGAGACATTGAAACTAACTGAGAGGAAATTGTGTCCGATTGGTAACACTGGCACGGCTGCCACACGGACCCGTGTTGTCATAAGCAGCTGTCCAGTTACGATCGTCCGGCCACAGGAATGCAACGGGTCCCATGATGGTGCCCTCATCCCCCTCACCATGCGTTTCAGCTCGTGTGCCCATGGCGAGTCCCAAAGCGGCAAGTGTTGAGGTGAAACGCATCTTGAATAAAGAAGAGGCCAAAAAAGGGTCTCAAAAAAAGCAGAACTTGATCCGAAAGACAACAGCTTTGATGATGGCCTGAAGATTGCACTATATTCACAAGTCGCACAAATTCTGGGGATCAGAGATCAGTCATATTGTTTCCAAGGCGCAAAGGGGGAGGGCCCTGATATGTACCCGACGGCGGGTGACATTGGAGGGCGGGCGGGTGGAAGTTCACGTGCGCCGAAGACTGAAGAACGGGGTGGATTTGATGAGAAGGCTGGACCGAGCAGGAAGTTAGTCTCCCCGTGGATATCAGAGTTTTGGGGGGTGGGTAGCACGAGGGGTCCAATTTTGCTGCAGAGTGTCTGCAGAGACTGGAAGGCAAGCGAGGATAATGCAGTCATGGTGGGCAAGTTGTCCCGATGGTGGGTTTGGACAGTACTGTTACTTCCTCGTCCTTTGGGCCCCACTACATTTGATGATTCGGAATCCGTACCGACTCTCTGCAGCTTCAGACCCATAGACACTGACAGAAGAGTGGTGAAGGGATTTTGCATGCATGTCTAGGCTAATCGACCCACGAGTGGCAGGTTTGTCGAATGGCTACGATGGAGTCAGAATGTCTGGGCGCTCGCTTGCGCTGGTTTTCTCCGAGCCGAGCTGTCCAATAGCGGCCTCATTTGAGGGATAGATAATGAATTATATAGTTTTCTGCCAAGAAGGAAGAAAGTTCGACGATTTCAAAAGCCCTCTGGCTCATAACGGCTCCTGGGTCAAGGCATCGTTGGCCGCTCTGTTTGCCGACTGGCCGTACCATTTTATGGCTTATCAAAAGAGCTCGGGTAAGGTTTTTTATTTATTATTTATTTTTACCCAAATCTGTAATTGTTTTTATATCACATAGTTCTCCTTCCTGATATATAGCATTTATCTGAGGATCATCACAACATAGCTGGCAAAAATCTGGTTGCCAAGGTGGGGGCTCCCCAGGGCTCTTGTCGCGACCCGCGGGATCCTCACCAGGGATGGCGCGATGTTGTGGGTATGATCATCTTCTTCGCCTCATGATCCAAGCTTCTTGCTCATAGAGAAACAGAAGTAATGTTGCGAATTTCCCATATGACTATTAACATTCCGGTCTCGGCTACGCTGTGAACCTTAGTGACTCCCCAGAGACCAGCGCAAGCAAAGTGAGAGGAACGGATGTCCTTCCACTCTGGTGTATGCCCAGAAGATTGAAAATTTTTTTCTTCTTTTCAGGACATGCGTTTATACATGGTCCATATTGAAAGTCACCATCTTGTCGCGTGATCATGAGACGTTCAACAGCGGCTCAAAGAGGCCTGATTGTGGACCAAGAGGCGGGGCAAGACAGCATCGAGGTTCCGGGCTGGACTTATCTGATGGCGAAGACAATTATCTTATCAGATCATCATGGGGGTTCATCCAAAGTGGATATATTCGGATCATGCCACTCTACTGTCTTGGTTCATCCAATCGGTCTCGTTTCGGCCGCCCAGGGTCCTCTTCAGGTCTTTTGAATATAAGTGAAGCGAACCCAGGGCAGCTCGGATCCGACTATTGACTTTGACTTTGACTTCTTGGCTATCACAGGTCCCCGCTGCCTCAAGAGCCAAAGCCTTGAAAGACATTGCTCTAGAGGCCCCGGGGAGGAATACTTACTATAGTACTATGTAATTGCCAATTCTGTTACGTCGAAAGCAGACGAATGCGACCTTCATGACAGCCAAACAGCTGAGACCTCTTTGCCCCTTTGGGAATTGGTGGATACAAAATGCGTGGCAATAGTCCCGCTCGCTCCTTGGCTCCGATGGCTTGATTCCAATTCATCGCCGGGTTCCGACCACGGGCTTTCTTGATTCCGCGCCCAACCATCATTTAGAGAAGTTTGCTCATGGATGAGCCTCTAGGAACCGGGATATCACTGGTATGTTACTTCTTCTGTGGAGCAAGGTGAAGACCACCAAGCCAACCACTTACTCCGTTGTGCGAGAGGCCGTTTCTCCCCGTGCTCCGAGCCCTTTATAAATACTGTCGCCTTTCTGCCTCTTTGGACAGCTCCTCCCCTCTTTTACTTTCTTATGCTCGAATGTTGTCGAGGATAATTCTGCAGTCACCCTCGACTATAATTGCCTTACTATCTCAAGATCCTTGCCAGAAAGGTATCTCATATACACGATGGTCACTCTTCGATGGATAGTCGGCGTGGCTGCTGCTGCCTCTGCTGCGTCAGCGAGTGTGTTTGATTTTATAATGCCGTCTGGTGTTCTTGAGCGGAATGATCTCACACTTCTGAAGCGCGAAAATCTCTCAGTCGGCTCTCCGCTCTACAACTGCCATGACAATTGCGGTACGTCTTTCCTCCCTCAGACAACAGTGTGACCCCCCCCCCCCCCACCGAGTTGATTACCCATTGTTGTTTCTGGGTTTGGATTCTCATCTACAAGATAGGTATGGCGATCGAGGAGATCCAGAACTGCGGCAGCATTTGCAATGATACGACGTTTATCACGGACTATAACAACTGCCTGCAATGCTCCGGCTCGGATAATGAGGATATCTGGCAATGGTACGGGCCAGAGTTGAACACCAGCGCAGCAGCTTGTGGCTTCTCCGTCACACCTCTGAATGGTACACAGGACAGCGTCGGTACCGCCATCACGGCTAGCAACACCACTGCGGCCTGTACCGCTGCTCAGGAGGCCAGCAGCTCGGCCTCGGCCACCAGTTCCTCTACTTCTGCATCGAGCACTAGCTCCTCTGTGAGTCAAAAATCCTCAACAAGGCTAAAGACAGGCTTGAGCTGACCTCGTACTACTTGTTATAGTCTAATGCTGCTCCAACTGCTGTTGCGAATTTCGCAGCTTATGGAGCCGTTGTTGTTGTAGCTCTATATGGTATGGGAATTTGAGTGGTCATTATAATGCAATTGATTACTGGAAGAGCCATAATATACCCATCGTCAGGGTAACAGATGCAGGAATTGTGTATTCTGATGATTGTATTATAGTACATTGAGCTTTTACTCTTGAGTTGCCTTGTCTCCTAGTCTGTCTAATCAATATTCTCGACTCTGATTTGTGGATTGCTGAAAGAGGCGTCAACGTTGGCGGTGCCCCTACCAGCGATAGCTTCTTCATCTTGATGGACGCCTTTCTTGTGTCTTTTGAACAATGAGCCTGCGCGGTGTAGTGTTTGAGAAAGCAACCGAAAAAGAATGACCACGGGATGTCCAACGAAGGTGGCAATTCGTTCAAACAGTTCGTCAGGGAAGAGTCGAATGGCCACTGCCCAGGGTATAGAGATGAAGGACAGCACAAGGCATATCGCCCACTGAGGGCCCGTGATCCCGCCGGAAACAATCGAAAAGGCTTCGCCGCCTACAAAGATGATAGTGATCTGCAGACCCACCATCAGGCAGTTGATGATGATGAAGAAATGATTTCTCTGCAGGCCTTCGAAGATGTTGAATTTGTTGTCTAGCCGCCGGTTGTTGAATTCGTTGAAAATTTGCATCCACACGAACGTGTTGAATACAATCGTACGCAGCTCCGCCTCACTATAGCTCGGGAAGATCTTACTGCCAGCAAAGTACAGCACGAACGTGACGGCTAGTTGAAAGATGCTTTGGCCGGTAATCATTTTCCACATATTTGTCGTGATCAGAGGCGCATGCTTAGGCTGCGGCGGTCGCTCCAGAATTTTCTCCGTTGGCGGGTCGGTGGCAAGCGCAAGGGCGGCGAAGGTGTCCTGGATTTTTTGATTCAGTAACCTGAAAAACATCACATCGTCATTCTGCATAGAAGTTCTCACCATGATCAAATTCACCCAGAGAAGCTGGACGGCTGTTAGTACCGACTGCATTTCTGGATCGGAAACCGCGGAGACAAATGCAAGGAGGACAGCGGTAATGTTGACAGTGATTTGGAACTAGAGGAAAGAAAAGTTAGAATAAAGAATTTTCAATTGGAAAAGGAAGGCAGACGACATGCCTGAAGGAACTTTTGCACAGCGTCGTTTACGGCACGCCCCCATTTCATGGCCGTAATGATCGACGTGAAGTTGTCGTCCATCTATTATTTCGTGTTAGCATCTGATTGCGGTGCCCAAACTCCCGTGCATTGAAAAACCGTTGAGGAGGAAATTGGATAAGATACCCAATGCCACTTACTAGTATGATTTCAGACGCCTCCTTTGCGACCTCTGTTCCAGAGATGCCCATAGAAAATCCCACATCAGCTGCTTTGAGTGCTGGAGCATCGTTGGTGCCATCGCCTGTAACAGCAACGGTTTCGCCGAGATGTTTGAGTCGAGCCACTAGTATCTTCTTGTCCTCAGGTGACGAGCGAGCAAGCACCCGCAGCTTTGGAATTGTGTAGTCCATCTCTTTATGGCTGAGTTCCCTGAATATGGGCCCTTCCACCACGATGCCTTCCTCATCGAGAATACCGCACTCTTCAGCAATAGCGCGGGCAGTTACAGCGTTGTCACCCGTTACCATTCTGATCGTTACACCCGCTTCCCGAGCTTGCTTGACCGACTCAGGAACGCCGGGCCGTACGGGATCCTGGATACCAACGACGCCGAGGAATACCATTTCGCGCAGGACGGATGAGAAAACAACCTGACCATCTTCGGCACTGGCGTTTGCCGGGGGCCATTCGTCATAGTCGCGATACACAAGAGCGATGGTGCGAAGAGACTGGCGTGCGTAGGCACCAATGGTAGTCGAGATAGCCTCCCTCTCGTGCTCGCTCATGGCACTGACGGACAGATCGTTGATACTTACCTTAGAGGAGCAATATTCTAGGAGTATCTCTGAAGCACCCTTTACCAGCAGCCGATGATGGCCATTGCCGAGGTTGATCACGGCACCCATGCACTTCTTTTTGCTGTCGAAAGGAAACATCTGCACCACAAACTCATTGGTACGAGCCTGTGCAAGAGACTGCATGCCGAGATGCTCCCGAGCCAGCTGGAGAAGTGCAGTTTCGGTTTTTGACCCGATAAAGGCGAACTGACCAGCGTCTTCACCTTCGAAAGCTGTTGAATTGATCGCCACAGACTGGACTATGACTTTCTTCGCCGGTGCAGACAGCTCAGACGCCCACTGCGAGATCGTCTTGCCCGAGCTCTCCGCTTTGGTGAAGCTTGATGAGTCGAAAGTGCCAGTAACGACGGCTAAAAGGTAAACGTCAAGTTAGCACACGTACGAAGCTGCTGAAGAAACAAGTCGGATACACAGAAATGACTTCGAGATAGGCTCGAGACTCCCAGTGGGAGTCATGACGTGTTCCGGAAAGAGATTGGGAGGGGGGACAACACATAGAAAAACCACGACTGCCGGCGTCCGAGAGTATCCTGTGAAAGCCTGTTTCTTGAATCAAGTTCTGGAGTTGACGTACTCATTTTGTTGGTTGTCAGAGTTCCGGTTTTATCAGAACATATAGTCGTAGCATTTCCCATGGTCTCGCATGCTCGGAGGACGCGTACGAGGTTGTTCTCTTTTAGCATTCGTGTAGTCGCGAAAGCCAAAGCCAAAGTCACAGCCAGAGGAAGACCTTCTGGGACCTTTAGCGCCAGTAACCGTCAGTAACAAGTCCTTCATTATGATCCAGGCTTCGAGGGGAGGGAGAGCGCGGGATCAGCTGTTTACGACGAAACTTACAGCAACAACAATGATTGTGATAGCGACAATGAGAATGTCCTGTTGATGATTAATTAGTAAGCTGTATGGCAAAATTTGGGTTTTCAACATGTGAGATCTCACCATAAAAGAGGAGGCCTTTGACGCGGCATCCCGTGTGTCGGAAGGCAGAGAGGCGAGGAATCGAATGAGCAGGATCATGAACAGGAGCAGAGCAGCACTTGCTCCGAGCTTTGCTATAGCCCCCGCCAGTTTCTCAAGCTTCTTCTGTAGCGGCGTTGCCTCCACTGGGGTCCGGACCGACATCATAATCTTGCCAAAACTGGAGTTGACACCGACTGAAGTGCACAGAAATGTACCCATTCCTTCCAGCACCTTGGCGCCCGATATGATGAATGGGTCCATATGGGTAGATCTGGCCTCTTTCTCAGATTCGAGGATTTTGTCGACTTGCTCGCCAGATGTCTTCTTTATAGCGTCAGATTCTCCTGTAGCCGAGGACTCGTCGCAACAGAGATCATGGCCTTGAATCAGTATGCCGTCCACTGGAATCAGATCGCCAGGCTCCAAGTGCACCATATCACCAGCCAAGACATCTCGAACGTTGATGAGGATAGTCTTGCCGCTGCGTACGACCTTGATTTCGCGATCGTCCTTCTTGGCATTAAGACGGGTAAATGCCCTTTCCTTCTGCCAGTCATTGATAGACCCAACACCGACCACAATGATGATAGCCACGCAGATGGCGACACCCTCGACCCAGTCCACTGGTGGCGGAGACCCAGCAGGGTGGTCGACGCCAAGTGTCTCGTACAGGCCCAGAGCCAGCGAGATAATGGCCGCCACGGTCAAGAGAATCAGGACTTTGTCATTGTATGCCTTCCACATAAGGAGCCACAAGGGCGTCGCCTTCTTTTCTGGAAGTACATTCTTGCCGTAGATTCTCTTTCGGTCAGTGTAGGGCTCACACCTGGGGTCTGCTGGAATTTCGGTCCCGCTGTCGTGTGCCTCATGCGCAGACTTGAAGCTAATTCTCTTTCGCGCGTTCGTCTCGTCGAGACTCAAGCCTGAATGAATGTCCGTTTGTAAGCCCCTCTCTAGCCCTTTGAGGCCACCAAGTGCCTTGTACACAGAGAGCGACTTTGGGTTGAGGAGTTTGTTCAGCAGCCCCGGGCTAAAGGCGAAAGGGTTATTTTCAGCCTGACACGCTGTCTCGTTTTCTGTGACAATCTCTTTCTCGGAGAGAAAATCTTGTGAAAACCTAGTGCTTCCCACACTGCTGTTATTTGGCGTCAAGAAGGGATTCGATAGCGTCGATTCTGCAGATGATGGCAACGTGAATTTGCTGGCCTCTGAGCCTTGACGGCTTCGAGTGTCGATTAAGAGGGCAGGTGGCGCAAGGTTGAACTTGGCGCTGTCTTTCATGATTTCTCTTTTCCTTGTCTAGCGTGCCGATATGGTTCGTATCTTAGGATGATAATTTGCAAGAGATAATTAATCATGCGGTGGATGTGCTCACACGGCCGATGGAATGTAGTTGTTCTGGATTCGAAAGAAAAAAACAAATAAGCACAAACTCGAGATGTGAGGGAAGATTCTCAAGAATGAGCTGGATCTACAAGATCATGTGAGAATATATATATATATACTGCGATAACTGAAAGGCTGTTGACAGGTAGACTTAGGAAAGCGTACTTCCTCAGGCGCGAGGCTGTGTACATGTTGCCTAGCCATGGCACTCACTGGCGTCTTGGTGCTTCATCATGAACTTGGCTTGGCTTGAATTAGGTTTTGTGTCAATGTAGAAGAACTTTTGTCTATTAGTTTTAGCTGGGCGTTGTGTTGCGCCATGCACGCAAAATTGATTGTGCCCAGGCATAGAGCGAGGCTGTGCAAGATCGACGTGGTCTACGCAGCGTAGCGCCACGCCTGCCGAGGCGCCAAAGAAGTCTTCCTGATTGCTGAACTTCCCCACCAATAGAATCAAGGGCTACTCAAAGCGTGCAGGTCACTCACCCTGGTGTATTGTAGGCGTTCTTTCGTGCGGGGAAATGCTTGGAATATTTTATTGCTCGAATTTTCTGCTATAGCGCGTATGGCAAAACTTGACATGATTCCAAGAGACGCAATACCGAAGTGCTCGAGCATAGCCACTAACCAGGCATAATCTGTTGCCCTTAGCTCGTGGCAAGACCGGTATTCGTATATTCAATGTTCTTGGCATACGACGTAGTGCGAATCATCAACCTTAAGTCCATTCAGCGTATCCATCCCCCATTCATCAAGTGCTGCGAACGACTGAGGAACACCTTGATCAGTTTTTGAGATTGACCCTGATTGATGAATAGTCACCTGAGGTACCTCTGCTTGATTTATTGCTTGGAGTACCATCTTTCTCAATGTCGATTTTGAACCAATGAAAATAAGATCGGGGGGGGGGGGGGTTGGAGGTATCCGAGGGGCTGCTGGCATTCCTCCTGGCCACCGCATTGCTGGGTCTCTGTAGGCTGGTCACTGGTTTTTTTGGGGCTCTGAACTTTCCAAATTAGCAATGAAGCAGTTGATTTCACCTGACAATTGAATCCTGTGGCATCCAAGGCCTTTCCATCTGATTGGACAGAGAAATAAGTATACAGTACTTTGTGAAAGCTTTGAGAAGTAGGATGATGAATGTGGACTGCGATAGAAAGTGATAGCTGGGCAACCACAAGTTGGACTCTTCCTTTACTTGCTGACATATGTTGAGTATGAATCCTACTTAGTAGCTCCAAAGTGGTCCCATACAACTTCAAAACTCTCTTGAGCTGGTAAATGGGTTGTGAACGTGGTCACCTTCGTGCCTATGGAGCTCGAGCCTATGAAGTGTTTCACCCTGCTTCACTGCTATAGTAACAAATGATCAGGATGATCTCATGGTCGATCAGCTGATCCATGTGAACGGCCAGGTTGGATTTTCTATATAATGGAGGCATCCAGCTTCCCAGAATTCCTAAGCTTTCATACCTCCACTCTCGACCAACACTCATCAACAAACATTGCAACACTCACCAACGAACAATCAATATGTCTCCCTTCACTTTCATCATCAGCATGATGTTGCTCATCGTCAGCTTCGGCCAGGCCCAGATCAGCACTGGTTATCTGGCTGAGCCCACCCTGCCTGCCTACATGTACATCAATTGTGATGACAACTTGACGCCTGACCCTGATGCCCTGATCTCCACCACGGCCAAGATGATGGATTGGTGCGGTTGTGAGAACCTGCTCAACCCAGCCGGTGCCAACTACTATGCTGGCAGTAAGTTTTCAAGAGAAAACATTTGCTCTCCAAATCTGCCCTCCCTCATATGCTAACAAAATTGTCCACCAGTGTCTGTCTTCGAGGATGACATCCCCAAGGCACCCCTCAGTCCTGCTCGTACCTGGGCTTGCAGGTAAGATTCCTCTTTGTCGTGTTATCTAAGCTCAACATCTAACATGCTTGATACAAACAGCGCGGGAATCGATACCCGCTGTGACACGGTTGAAGACTGGTACAACGCCTTGTCCAACGTATCCGCTCGTTGTGGCAACCACTCTGGCTACTTCTATGACGCCTCGCGTCAGATGGCCTGGGGATTCGATTCCTACTACAACATGAAGTTCTGCGAGGGCGTTGCCTGGGTTGGCATCTCCGCCGCTGCCAAGGATGAGAAACCGGAGTAGTCAAGACAACGTGTGGTCAAAGATCTATGTAGCCAGCACCAGAACGGCTAAAGGAATGAGTAAAGAGGTTTAGGGTCAACTGGCTTACTTGGCCGAAAGATCACTAACATCGCCAGCAACACTTTGTACGGCTTCCTTTCCTTCTAGTTCACGAACATACACCACAACCATAAAACACCCAGTGTATCCTTCAGAAAGGTCTACTCAAACAGTCAATTGCTGATTGGCCGCGAAATACAAGAACGTTCACCTAAATCAACGATGCTTATCTATCATTTGTGAATTGTGCCATGGCTTGATTGATCTGGTTCACCTTATAATAGGACGACGGCGGTTTGTGGCGTCCCTACGGCCAGCCAACCCTTCCAACTGCTCTGTTAGAGACTTTCTTCTGTACCTGGTGTAATGCTTACGAAATAAACTCGGTGCTCGCCCAAGGGTGCAGCGGATCCAGGCATCTTGTCTAAGTTTTTGCGCCGAAACCTGACCGTGATTGGTCTCCTAAAGGCCTATATGAAATCCACGATGACCACACGATATAGATAGCTTGTAGGTATCGTGAATACTTTATTCGAGACAATACTTCCAAGGTTGTTGGACCTGGGGCATGTCTCTTCAAAGTAGGCCGACAATGCTTGAGAGGCTACAGACTCAGCAACAACATACATTCTCAATTTCTGAGCTTGGACATTCTACGAAGTTACGTTGTTCAAGGCCAATACTATGGCCCGCCGGTCACATGAAAAGATAGGCTAGTGATATATGCTGATGCGTAATGGAATTTCTGGTTAATGAGCACTTCGAGGTATGAAACCTTTCTCTCTAGAATCTCATCCTATCTTCATGGCCATCTGGCAAGGGCTCTAGTGAATCCTTCTCTAACACAGTATTGCCACGGCATGCATTCACTTCTTCTTCCGAACCGGGCCACGAGACTCGGACATCTTGAAGCCATCTCCAATGTCGATGGGGGAGTCTTCGTCGCGCTTGTAGTAGCCTACTCCTCCCTGCACCCAACCAGGCCCCTTGCCGTCGACACAGCCAAAGTTGTAGCGGTAGTGCCGAACCGGCTCGCTATGCGCAAAATGTTGGTCAGTTTTAGGAGAAAAGTAAACGAGCAAGACGTATGTGAATGTGCAGCAAAATAAAGGCCATTACTCACTCGATAGCGCGGCAGTAGCAGTTCGTGTTGCACCAGTCCCAGCCGCTCCGTGCTACAGGCCGGGTTCGCGACCGGGCTTGCTTGATGATCTTGTTTCCACCGACGAGGCCGTCGCAGTCGAAGAGAGTGGCGCACTGCCGCTCAATGCCATCTTGCTGCCAGACGTCCCCATCTATGGCGGGGAACGGAGTCTTGCTGTTGGCCAGGCCGTCCTTGCACTTGAGGCCGTACTTGACAAGGACCTGGTCGAGGAAGGATCGCTTCTCCATGATGTTCAGGAAGACTTGGTCGGAATCAGTGTATTCAGAATCAGTGTGGTCGACAGTGTGGTTGGTAGTGTGGTTGACATGATCAGTGTTGTTGATGTGACCAGTGTTGTTGATCAGACCCACGATGTCATCTTGGACAAGACCAATGGCTGTGGTGAGAGGGCTGGCCAGGGTGGGGGACAGAAGGGTAAGAAAGCCCAACATGACCAGACCAATGAAATTAGTGATCTTCATCTTGGCTGGTGATGCGTGGGTGTCTGATCTGCCAAAAGCCATTAGTTGGATAGTTAGAGGACCAGCTAGGAGGGCTGCCTACCTAAGAAGTTGATCGTATCAAGTGATGCTGAGATGGGTCTTTGCTTGTTCGTCTCAGCACGTTCTGTGGATGTTGATGAGAAGAGAAAATGTAGGAATTTGGTGCGCTGAGTCGACAGATTTATATAGCATATGCCTGTCTGGCAGATAATTAGGGATAAGATAGGACTGGTATCGAGAGCTACAGCTTCAAGTAGAGATGTTGCAAAACTGTCACCTAGCGTCCTGTGAATGAATTCATTTACTGTAACATGTTTTGCTGAATTGTATTTACACGACTCTGCATACTACTCAGATTCTATTCACCAGGTTTTACTGGCTTGATCGCAAGGCTCTTCACCGGCTATACATCATGTCACTTAGTTGGAGAGACCATGCTCCTTTCATCGACTACTTGAAGGAATCTAGCTGTTCAGATGGAATATTAATCCCCTTTATTATAGATGGACTGCGATTTTTAGCCAAGCTTAAAGTAATAATTAGTGCCATATTCACTGCAGTATCAAAAGCTCTTATGATTATAAGAGATGTGATTATATTCCAGGAACTTGAGCACCTCTACCTTTACAAGGGGATTGTAACTCACACTTTCATCGGTGAACTATGGACTTCATAGCTTGTTGTGAAAAGCAGGATGGCAAACTATGCATAAATACTCGAAAGATAACAGCTCTTAGATGCCAAAAGGGGCTAGGGTCTAATCTAATGCGGCTTTTTTGAGCAATGAGCGAGATTTTACTCATCCCACCAAGCACTTGACCAATGTTGGAAAATAATATGTGCTATTATTTGAGAGAGTGTTGCAAGACTGTCTGCTAGTGAACATCTTTGAAGCTTTGGCACCTCTAGCTGATCATAACCACAGTGGTAATTGGAGAGACATCTCTTGGCGTTATCAGACCAATGATTCTCGATATTTGGAAACTTTGATCATATTAAGGAGCAAGGAGTAGATGTAGAGACCAGCCATGGCAAGACTCTTTATCCACATGGAGAATTATGTGGAACTTATTGGGGGCTACTGTACATGGTTGAGTTATATAATTATGGAAATTTTAGTTCACGGCCAGACAAACAAAAGCTGTTTGTAGCTCCTAGTGCTCATCATCTGTGTACCGTAATTTCAGAGCGAGCATCCATTAACTGTATTTGACAAGGTAAAATGGCCAAGCAAAGAAATGACAGTATCTGCACAGCAATTGGATGGTGACAGGTGTAATAGGCATTGTCCCTTGGTCAATTACCCTCTGTACCAAGTACTTAGTATGTATGTACAAGTAGAGATGTTAACTACTAGAATCACAGAGATTAACAATCCCAAATTGCTTGAAAGACCCATCACGTATCCACTAGACTTCATATCACTTTGGAAGATTATAACCCGTCTATTGGTCTGTACTATTCCATGCCCAAGGTTGAGAAGAGTAGAAGATGAGATGAAAGAGGCTATCCCTTCCAGTCCTGCTCGACTGACATGACAACTTCTCTTTCCTGTCCATGAAATGAACACTGAAGGATCAGATATGTCAAGATTTTGATGTTGTCTTCAAGCTGACTTTATCTCTCTGCTGCTTACCCCTGAGGATCTCCCCAAACCCCCACCTCTTTTCACTTGTGGTTCGAAAAGGCAAGAACAGAGGCTATACGTAGTGTTTAGTTATTATTTGGCACTCGCTCAGGGCTCAGTCTCTGCGTTGCCTCTTGGTGTACTACCGTCCCTGCCATATCGGATACCCGCGAGCAGTGCCTCCTCCATTTGGGCGAAGACATGAAGGAGTCTAGACGGTGATATTGGTTGGGAAGGTCACTGGTCCAGATGAAAAAGAAGGTCAGCCATCTCGCGGACAGTAATTACGAATATCTTGCCACCACTACCGCCGTCATAGAATGCACTTCGTAGCTGCAGAGAAGGGGAAAAGAAGGACCAAAAAAAACAACAAAAAACCCCACCATAAAACCACGAGAAAACCCCACCACGAAATATCATCGCACATGAGAGCTACTGCGCATCAAATGCATGCTAGAAATGGAACCGTAATCCAGTCGCGAGAAGATCGTCCGAGGTCAATGCCCGAGCAGCCAATTATCTGTTGGTTCGTGTTTCTCGATGCAGGCTTGTGGTGTGTGAGTGCAACCTGCATATGATACTTCAATAATGCGCCACCCAGCCAAAAGAAGATGTGGCCATCAATCTCATATGCGTCACTTCGCAGCATGCACACCCGTCGAACGGATAGTGGGGGGGGGGTGGTCAACAGAGGAATTTCCCCAATTGAACGTCATGTAATGGTGGGTAAGGTGTGCCTGGCTCTTAACTTTGTAACAGATGCTCAGTTGTCCACGCTCGCCTGACCGGCCGGATCCCAAATTGGCAGTCCTGTGTGTAGCGGTGCAGGATCGCGGAGCATTAGCAGAATAACATCTTGATAGTGGACTGGACTCGCCTAAGTGTGTGAACACCACACAAGTCTTCCTGACCGGTTGCCGGCGCATGCAGGTTGATGGGATGATGGTGTGAACAGGATTGAATAGTACACATGTTAAATATAGGGTCAGTCTCGTGCCGATCGCCCGTGGGAGAATGGGGAATTGACGTCGGGCGTTGGGGCATTACTCCCCCGAGTCCACCCATACCGTGTTCTACCTATCGCTCTTTATGTGTGCGAGTGTGTGTGGGTGTGGGTGTGTGTGTGTATGTACCTCGCCTGCCTCGTGCAGCATATGAAGGGAAAATGGGTGTGCAGACGTGGCTGGGCGGGTCGCCATACCATCACCAGGAACCACACCCACCCATGGTGTACCCCTCCTTGTCGGAAGCAGTATGGTAGGAGAACCAGGTGAAAACCAATTGACCATGGGCGGCGAGCAATGCCATCATAATGCGCCCGGCTCTAAATTGTTCACTGCACATTAGTGACATCGCTCGACTACACCCGCAGACCCTGTGGTGCCAGGGCTCGATAACGGCCAGTGCCAATGACGTACAGGAACCACAGAGGTCAACTAGTCCTCCTGCAGGCCGTTGCACAATGCCATAGTAAGTGCATACGGAGGCAGGGTTGCCCCAAATCTCGTGGGGAAGATGGTGTGGACATGGAGAATGTGGCGGGACAACCCACCATGCCATGCGTATGTATTGTAGACTTTCTTGTGCTCTCTCTCTCCTTCTCTTCCTCTCTCTGCCTCCGCCTAATACTGTAGTCGTTGAGTGACAGAACAGCTCTGAGAGAGTGAGAGTGAATGAAAGAAAGAAAAAGAGAGAGAGAGAGGAGGGAAATGGGTGACGCTATACCATTCGTCTGGTCTGCCACTACGATACAACGCTGAACGTTTAATCTGGGGCCATATACATGCGTTGGCCCTCTCCGAAACCTGGAAAGACCTTTTCTTTCTAGTCTGGCTACTCTTCCGCCCATGCAAGACGACAACGATCTTGGAAGTCTTCACAGAAACACTAGAATTTCTGTTGCCGTTTATCCTGCAACCTCAAGCGACGTTACGTTGCTGGCGTTGAAGATCGTCACCTCTGTGGGGAAATGGTTTTGTTCTTTTGTTTTTTCACTCATCCCGCCCGTCCCTACAATGCTTAAATCCGCCCGGCCGGGTCGAGCGTCACCTTGTTCGCGCCCCAGGGAAACACCAAGATCATTTTCTTTGGCAGGGCGAAAAGCCACCACTCCCCACTACCCTTCCCTCGTCGGCTATCGTCCCTGGAAATGGCACGGACTTACATACCACCATCACAGCAGGTTTTGGATGGGAATCCCGTCGACTGTGAAAGGCTACTTATTAGCGTGATGTGGCAGGCCCTCGCGATACCGAGGAGGCGGCGGCGCCATTTGCGTTGTTTAGGCTCTGCAGCTTTCTGAAAGATCACTAGACACCCATGTAAAAGGTCCAAGGGTCCTTTCTGTAGACCGTTTACGCCGTTGGACATGGGTCATGGCCAATGGGAATAAATTCTTAAAATGCCGTGGCAAATCGGCGCCTGGCTGGTAGGAAAAGCGGCCGTCACCGCCTTGTGCCATCCATGTACTACAGCCCGGCTCAAGTTACCAGATGGCTGGGTGCGAGAATGGACCAAGCACTAACATACCATAGTACATATTGTGGAAGTCATCTTGCTCAGATGTCTCAGGCTCTCTCTCTGAGTGTACACGAAAGAAGGCAAAGCCGGAACACAAGACGGACTCATTGCACGCGTGACGAGCAGGCTAGGATTTCATAATATTGTCCGAGCGCACGCGCGAAGAATTTCTAGACCAAGGTACTAAGGCACAGAAGCAGTTTGGCGTCCCAGAGGCTACGAAGATCGCCCCAAAAAGACATGGCTGGCCGTCACCCCCTGCGGAGAGGCGAAGACGAAATACAACAGGCGGGCTAGCGATCCAGCCGGGCTTTTCTTCTCCCGCAGACACGGATATCGGGACCGCACTATCTTTCCGTACACACAAAGCCCTACTGCTGTACCGTGGCAGAGGGAGAAAAGAAACCCTGCTCCCTGGGAAACCTCCATAAGGTTGGCAAATCACAGCCGCCGGAAAGTAAGACCCGTGAATTCAGTACACAGGGATCTGTAGAGTGCCCAGGCGGCTCTGCGCTGCTGACACCTTCGTTTTCGGGCAAGAGATGGTCGCTGCTTGCGCCAGCCTCCTGCGCGGGTGTTCAGGTATGCCGGGTGAATCCTTGAGGATCACGCTGCTTGGTCAGTCTTGCAAAAGCAATCGGGTCTTATTGGATTCTGTTCTTGGCGCTGCGAAATGCAAGACACACGGCGGTACCAGCCTCGTAGACAGACAGACCGCTACAATGTAGCGGCAAGGGAGGGTCGTCGGGAAGATGAACAAATGTATATACATTGCATATTTATGTAGGTATGCATGAGTATTGGTTAAATCGCCGGCTACAGGTACCTTGTA